TTACCCCGAACATAGGCCACCGAACAGTATTATCCAACTTACTCTGTCCTGGGCTTCCCTTTCCAGCTCTGTTCAGTTCTTTCCAGTTTTTGTTCATTCTTATCATATCTTTCTCTGTTTCTCGACCAAACGCTTTCCTTGTCCTTCCTCTTTTCCTCTGTCCCTGAGGGTTCCGAGTGAAGGCTTGCCTTGTGACTCAGTTGGGTGCTTTCCACAGATTTTCTTATCCATCTCCTGAGCTTCTTTCCGATTTATTCCTACACCGGAATCGAGTTTGTTCTCTCCCACAGTACGTTGTTGATGATAGTGTCTGGCCAACGAATCCGAAGTATTTTGCGAAGACAACTGTTCATAAATACTTGTATCTTCTGGATGATGGCTTTGGTAGTTCTCCATGTTTCCGCTACATACAATAGAACTGTCTTGACATTTGTAACGAAAATTCTGACCTCGGTGTTGGTTGATATTTGTTTGGAGTTCCAGATATTTTTCAACTGTAGAAATGCAGCCCTTGCTTTGCCCATCTACGACTTCTCATCTGCATTGTATCCAACTTGATTGTCGGTAATATTGCCCAGGTATGTAAAAGTGTCAACGTCCTGCAGGGCATCTCCATCAAGAGTGATTTGGTTGACGCATGTTGTGTTGTATCGGAGAATCTTGCGTTTCCCTTTTTGTATGTTGAGACCCACTGCTGCTGAGGTTGCTGCTACACTGGTCGTCTTCTCTTGCATTTGTTGTTGCGTGTGCGATAGAAATCGTCAGAAAATATATTCCCTTGTATGGATGAACTCTTCTTCTCTGTCCTTGATTCACGGAGATATTACACTTCGTGACTGGAATGTAATTGATCTGTTGTGGTGTTCATAGTCAACCTCGACTCGTTCAACCACAAGTGTCAGCAAGGGAGAGGAAACAGGGAAAATGAGTGAGATAGATTAAGTGATCTGAGACGGCAAAAAAAACAACAGGTAGATCTTAAAACATGCATCACGCACAGCTGGTCCATGACTCTTACTTGCGCCCATTACCCCGAACATAGGCCACCGAACAGTATTATCCAACTTACTCTGTCCTGGGCTTCCCTTTCCAGCTCTGTTCAGTTCTTTCCAGTTTTTGTTCATTCTTATCATATCTTTCTCTGTTTCTCGACCAAACGCTTTCCTTGTCCTTCCTCTTTTCCTCTGTCCCTGAGGGTTCCGAGTGAAGGCTTGCCTTGTGACTCAGTTGGGTGCTTTCCACAGATTTTCTTATCCATCTCCTGAGCTTCTTTCCGATTTATTCCTACACCGGAATCGAGTTTGTTCTCTCCCACAGTACGTTGTTGATGATAGTGTCTGGCCAACGAATCCGAAGTATTTTGCGAAGACAACTGTTCATAAATACTTGTATCTTCTGGATGATGGCTTTGGTAGTTCTCCATGTTTCCGCTACATACAATAGAACTGTCTTGACATTTGTAACGAAAATTCTGACCTCGGTGTTGGTTGATATTTGTTTGGAGTTCCAGATATTTTTCAACTGTAGAAATGCAGCCCTTGCTTTGCCCATCTACGACTTCTCATCTGCATTGTATCCAACTTGATTGTCGGTAATATTGCCCAGGTATGTAAAAGTGTCAACGTCCTGCAGGGCATCTCCATCAAGAGTGATTTGGTTGACGCATGTTGTGTTGTATCGGAGAATCTTGCGTTTCCCTTTTTGTATGTTGAGACCCACTGCTGCTGAGGTTGCTGCTACACTGGTCGTCTTCTCTTGCATTTGTTGTTGCGTGTGCGATAGAAAAGCCAGGTCATCTGCGAGGTCCAGATCGTCCAGCTGCATTCTGGCTGTCCACTGAATACCGTGCTTCCCTTCAGATGTCGACGTCTTCATAATCCAGTCGATCACCAGGAGAAAGAGAAACGGTGAGAATAAGAAACCTTGCCTGAAAGCGGTCTTTACTTCAAATGAGACTGACAGCTGTCCTCCGAGCACAATTTTTCAGTTGAATCCATGATGAGAATTCCGTATGATGTTAACTATCCTCTCAGGCACACAATAGAGTCGAAGAAGCCTCCATAGTGTTGTCCTGTCCACGCTATCGAATGCTTTCTCGTAATCGATGAAGTTGATGTAGAGTGGTGAGTTCCATTCAATAGATTGTTCCACAATGATCCGTAATGTAGCAATTAGGTCAATGCACGATCGATCCTTACGATATCCGGCCTGTTGATCTCGAAGTTGGGCGTCTACGAAGTCCTTCATTTTGTTTAACAATACCCTGTTGAAGACTTTTCCTGGTATTGAAAGAAGAGTGATGCTTGTGTAGTTCTCTCACTTGCTGAGATCGCCTTTCTTTGGTATTTTGATCATGTACCCTTCTTTCCAATCTGATGGTACTTGTTCCTCATCCCAAATCTTCTTGAAGAGGATGTAAAGCATTTTCGCAGTTGCTCCTACATCTGCTTTCATAGCCTTTGCTGTAATGTTGTCTGGTCCTGCTGCTTTGCTGCTCTTGATTTGTCTGATGGTCATGCTGATCTCCTCAATTGTAGGTGCGCCAATAATAATCGGGAGGTCCGCGGATGCCGCTTCGATGTTGGGTGGGTTCAGTGGAGCTGGTCCATTCAGGAGTTCCTGAAAGTGCTCTACCCACCTATTTCGCCGTTCTTCAGTGTTGCTGATTACTTTCCCTTCCTCGCTTTTCCCTGGTCGTTCTGGTTTACGATAGTTTCCGGCCAGCTTCTTTGTTGTTTCATACAATTGTCTCATGTTTCCTTCTCTTGCAGCCTTTTCCGCCTTCATTGCTAGATCTTCCACATATTTTCGTTTGTCAGCTCTGATGCTATTCTTCACTTCCCTGTTTGCTTCTATGTATGCAGCTTGTGCGGCAACTTTCTCTGCTCTTGTTCGGCTGACGTTGATTACTGCCTTCTTGTTCCTCCTTTCTTCAATTTTTTTATGAGTAACAACAGAGATCCATTCCTTATGATGGTACTTCTTGTGACCCAGAACTTCGTGAAATGTTGAAGTAATTGCCTCGTTGATCCCTTTCCAATTGTTCTCCAATGTTGCGTCCTCTCCATCGAGTAGAACCTGAAAGGCCCGGAACCTATTGGTGAGGGCTATCTTGAATTCGGCGAGCTTTACAGTATCCCGAAGAAAGGCCGTATTAAACTTGTGTGATGGCGTCTGCCCCGTTGTCCATTTTGTTGTTGTTCATTTTGGCGATCAGCAAATGGTGATCTGAGGCTATATCAGCTCCTCTCCTGGTTGTCACATCCTCCATAGTTTTTCTGAACTTTTTGTTGATACAGATATGATCAATCTGGTTTTGAGTAGTGTGGTCCGGTGAAATCCATGTGGCCTTGTGAATGCGTTTGTGCGGGAGTATTGTGCCACCGATGACCAGTTTGTTGAAGGCACATAGGTTTGCAAATCTCTCACCGTTTTCGTTCCTTTCTCCCAGTCCATGTCGTCCCATGATGTCTTCATATTCAGTGTTGTCCATTCCAACCTTGGCATTCAGGTCTCCCATAAGAATCGTCAAATCCTTTGGTGAACATTTCTCGACGATTGACTGCAGCCTTTCGTAGAATTGATGTTTAACGTCGTCATTGTAGTCATCGGTAGGTGCATAACATTGGGTGACGTTCATTGTAATGTCCTCTTTCTTTGTTTTGAAGGATGCTTTGATGATCCTTGGTCCATGAGATTCCCATCCTATCAGTGCCTTTTGTTCATGTTTGGACAGCATCAGTGCAACTCCTTGTGTATGTGAAGCATTTCCACTTCGTGATCAGAGTATAACAGCAGTTCCGCTGAAGCTAGTCTCAGTTGTCCCACCTATGTCCAACGCGTTCCACTGATGCCGAGCACCTCGAGGTTGTACCTTTTCATTTCTGCCGCGACTTGAAAGAGTCTTCCAGTCTCCCACAATGTACGAACGTTCCATGTACCTAAAAGAATGGTTTCTCTGGTTGTCAGAAGGGGCATCGGCCCCGTGACTTCGGAGGGAACTCGGCTTTCATCACGCGACGTCATAATTCTTCTTGTAAATCCCAGGGCAGAGTTAAAATGGTTTGGATTATTTTTTCCGGTTAGCGTTTTTCGGCAAGTTAGTTGTTTGGTGGGATGGGGTCGCCAAACCCATGTCCAACCCTCCTCCTTTATCCGGGCTTGGGACCGGCAGTAGCCCCTAAGGTTCTACTGGCGGAGTTACAATCTTCATTACTAAACAGTAAACTAAATTATCCTTTTATTTACTAAGTTTAGGAAATCTTTTCCTTAGTATCAGAATTTTTCCCTTATTATTCTCCACATTGAAAGAAGCTAATCTTCTGTCTGATAACGTGATAGCTGCTGATATCCAGAAACCCTACTTTCCTGAAACAAACGTACTCATTTAAATCACGAGACACAAACAACCGACTAGAATTAGTGCAATCTAGTGGTTAGATTGCATCCATTGGGCAATAACAATACCCCGAACCGTACCGAAAGAACCAGAATTGAGCTCAAAGAAATCAAATAGTTTATACCAGCTCGTGAAAAAGATATTGCTTATTGGATCGTAGTTCAACCTATTGGCCAAAAATCTCAGTAATGCCGCCAGGTTGAAACCATTCGGTTGTAACGCAATTTAAACGTTTCTCTACCAACTTGTTTCAGTTATCAGTTTGCCCTAATCTCACATTTGTGTTATTTCTCGATTGCTTTCTTAATTAAAAGTAAGTTCATTCAAGCTCGTGAAAAGGATATTCGTTATCGGATGTGCTTTCTGAGTCGTTGGCTCACCTGTTCTTTCCTCTCCCAGATAACCTCACTTACTGCTCTACATGCTTTCCCAGTACACAAAGTACATTCGGGATAAATGCGAAATTACTAAATGCTGAAATTACATGGCATATAACGCAAAATAATTGTAGTGTTGCTCACAAGAAACTATTGTTTTCACTCAATGGCTTCCTAATTTATTTTTCTAGCAAAGCGCTCAAATTTTAGGAGCGTCTTGGTCCATGTGGGTCAACCAAGTTTTAAAAGGTAAGCTTTTCATGTGTAGAGTTCTGTAACGCACCCTTTAACTCCAGTTTTCCCGAAGTTTGGTCGGAATAGTAGTCACTATTGGTTTATTGCTGTCTACAATCCTGTCAGTAAATATCACGAAAGATGTATTCAATACACTATTTCCCGGAGTTTATGCAGCTCTGCAGGGAGTGTAGAGATAACTCGTATGCAACAATGTTATGCTCTATTGAACAAAGAATGTAAAGGTAATGCAACAATTTGCTTTTAACCAATACCATAGTCCTCGTCTTTAAGCATACCAACTAACTAGCTCAATAATTCCTATACTTAAACTAGTTTCTGAATAGCCGAACTTATGAAATCCATTTTTAACTGGGAAATTTCTCCATTGTGTCACAGTTTACCATTGATTTATTCTGATTCGTGTCTTACTTAGTCCTCAACCCTAATCTCTTCGATTACTGCTAATACTTCTACTATCTCTATTACCATGGGATTTCAATTGAAAATTGCGTCGCTGTGCCGATGTTGTATGGCAGCTTGAACTGATGTACTTCCGTACAGACTGACTGACTTAGTTGCGAAACATTATCACATATAATGTTTTATCCCAACTTCATCCAAATATCATAATTCGTATAACATAGCTGTCATTGCATTCAGTTTGCGTTAGTGTGTACTGTTTCGATCACTCTTGGTTTGTTGCACCTTTTTCCGTATATCAATAACAGGAATTGTGTCTAGTGGGGATGAGCTTCAATTTTAAGGTAACATTACTTGTTAATAATTTCGCTCCATATCACTGCCCTAATGTAATTACTGTTAAGAGACTATGGAGTCTACTGTTGTGCATCGTTTAGGTTAGGCGAAACTTCGTCTGACTCCCAAACTGTTGCTCATACCTCTATCGATCTAGTTTCTAAAACTAGATTATTGTTTTCAAAAATCGTTAACGTTAATCTGTTGTTCTCTCTTTAGATTAATTTTATTTCTTTCAACAGTGTCGATTCTCCATTCAGGTTGTTTGAAGATAATAGTTAGATAAAAGACATTCAAACCGTCCCTCAAAGCGTTTTGCGTTTATATCTTATCCCCTTAAATCAAAAGAATGTTACACTGAACATCTATTTATACCTGGTTTTTCTTTAATTTTTCCAAACATGCTTCATTTAACGATTTCAGAACACATAATCACATTGGATCAAGTTAATCCTCGGGATGTATTTGTAAACAATGAAGTAAAATTAAGCAAAATTCAAGTATATGGATTTGATTATGATTATACATTAGCTCATTATACGTCTGAGTTGGAAAAATTTATTTTCAATGAGTCTCGTAACTGGCTTGTCGAACAGATGAAGGTAAGTTAACTACCAGTCATTATGTTAACTTAGAAAGCAAATGAGTTAGAAATGCATAATTTAAAACAGTTCATGAGACTTATTTATGTGTTTATTACTTTTAGTCGTTTCAGACTGACAGCTTAAACTAAGTTCTTGGGTTTTAAACTGTAAAGGTGGCATTCACATGCAAGTGGCTATAAAATGCAATTTCCGAAATAGTTTTCGGATAAAAATGTTTCAATATTTATTTATTACATAAATCTCAGTACCATAGGTCACTAACAAATATCCTACATAGATTGAATGTTAATTATGTGAGGAAGAATAGAAGATAAGTGCAGTATAATCTTTCAATAAACAAGCTAGAATAGCATTTGGAAACATGTAGCCAAGCAAAACGTATTTTAGTTAATCGGGTATGTACCACGGTGATGAAGAATATAGGCAAAAACCACGACAGTAACGCTCTTGCTTCCTATTCTGTCCGATGAAGTCCACAGCCCTTTTAAATTACGCACGTCCTAGGACCCCGGTAGAATTGTGGTGAATCTATTCCTGTACGATCATCATTCCACTACATCATGTAAGCCAACTATTTATTCGTTTTTTGCGCCAGTAACAACATCGATAAATAGTGCGCGATGTGAAACTCTCTGGCACCATATTTGTTTGACATGACCCAAGACATTGAAGTCAACGTTTCAAGACAACAACACTACTCATACGATCATCACTGTCTCTAAAAACTCTCAGACGCCAGTGATGTAAATATAATTTTGTAGTAAAGTATAAATAACTTGCAGACGATAATCTGACATAGGAGTCCCTTAAACATTTCCAAAACGGATTTTTCGTGGGCACTGTACTGCTTTCATTGATATTTTGTACACCTTACATTTTACCTATAGATGAGTATAACGATAGAACAAAATACTGAAGTGCGATTCCCATCGGTTATATTCAACTTCGCACATAACGTCTTAGTCTTCTGATACTTCAGTAACTGGTTTGTGTTTTTAACATGGCTCATAGAGTGCACAACGCAGTCAGAGACTTCCTAGTGTTAGGGATAGCACGATAGTTTTTAGCCAGCATTTAATAGTCCTTGTTTCCGGCTTAGGTTCATTTCTAATCTGGTTTGACTTAGTGTTTCATCCCTGATTTGGTGGAGCTCAATAAGTAAATTTTCCCAGCTGTCAGTTCGTGATGGAAATCACATTCAACATCCCCGATTTTTCAGTCCGAATTCTTGTAATCCGATAAGCTGTTCGAGAAGTTGTTAAGCAATCTTAAAAAATGTCCCAGGAATGCCTTACATACGTTTTTGGAGGAGGTTATGCACACGTTTCTGTTTGAAGTGCCATACATTAATACATATAATGTAGTCTTTATTGTTCAAAGATCAATTCCACTTGAAGCCTCCGTAAGTAATGTGGTGCTAAGACCCATAGACTCGTTTTTCAAATCAGCGAAGGTGAAAATATAATCTTACTAACCTGGTGTACTTCGTGCATATCCGGGAGACTCATATCATGTCATAAATGAATAGTTAATCTTACTAGTAATTTTAGCTGCCAAATTAGAGAGAAACAATATCAATGCCATATAGTGAAAACAGCTGAAACTAACCTGTTTTACCACCTCATACCTCTGAGGGGGCTACATTTCATTTTCATTAAGTTTCATAGAAAAAAATTCGAAAAGATGCTCATCTTTTATTTAAATATAATTGTCTTTTCAAGAGCTTTTCCGACCAAAAGTCTTTGATAGTAAGAGCGTCAACTAGTTTGACACCAACCCAAATCAAGACTCATATTCTCTACCTCTTTGTTGTTGACTCTAAATCTGACAAACGCGTCTTTTAGTTGATTAACATGTAGTTTATTTACGCAGTTTTAAAGAAACTGCAATAATAATAGTAGTCCTTCAGCTGCTTATGTAAAATTATTCGCTCAAAATTTTCGTGAAGTCATGAAACCATGTCATTCAAGGTCTCTAACCATCGGTTACTATTATCTCGCAGACACCGATCAGTTGGTCTGCACCTAACAACCTGGTTTAGTCCACTTGTCAGCGACTTCATGGATTTGTGCTACGTTTTGGTCTGGCCGTCCCTAGCTGTTTTTCAGCCTACTCCTACACCACGAAACATCACTCGTCGAGGCAGTCGTGGTTAGGCATTCGTAACACATGTCCCAACCACCTCGACTGATGAAGTTTCACTACTTCATCAATTTATCTGCCATCCTTACCTAGTACCCGTTTCCTAACCCAAGTATTGCTTACTCAGTCATCCAAAGGGTTATGAGCAATGCTTCGAATACACTGGTGATGGAATACTAGTAGCCGATGAATATCCTCTACTCTGACTGTTCATGTTCTACACCCATATAGTGTAGGATGGAGTAAACTAATGCACAGTAAACCTGTCCTTTGGTTAGCAGATAGATATTTCGCATACACCATAAGTAATGCAAGTAGCGAAAAGTCAATCGAGCCATCTATATCGGTGTTGAGACTGTCAGACACCAGGCCACCAGCTCTGATGAGACTCCCAAGATAAATGGAGCAGTCAACTAGTTCAGGTGCCAATCCTGAAACAAAATTTTGCATTTAGATGAGGAAAACCACTTAATGAACATGCTTGCATTGTTGCTTAAGGTGGTCGGAAGAGTGCATCTTGTCAGCGTCTTCATCAAGTTGAACTATGTCATCAACACATTTCAGGTCAACAACTTCTGGTAGGACGTTCACCCTTGAATAGTCAAACTAAGATAGTGTTATCTTAAAAGCACGTCAATCACGAAATTAAGTAAGAATGGAGAAACTGAACAGCCCTGACAGACACCACTTGAAGTAAGGAATTCCGACGACAGTTCGCCATGAGCTCCCAGTCGACCAGTAGTGTTCGAGTAGAGAGCTTTTATAAGGTTGATGTACTTCTCTGGCACTTCCACAAAACCCCACGATCGATATAATCAAATGCCTCTTTCAGGTCATGGAGTACAACTATGGTGGGACGTCAAAATGTGTTTCTTTGCTGCTGGACCTAAAGAAGAGTTAATATTTGGCCTATATATCCACGTCCAGGTCTGAAACCAGCCTGGTTTTCTCTAGTCTGCTTGTCACGGGCTCTAGTTAGGCGTCGAATGATACGACCATCCTTTTCTGAGATACTTTCGCTAACAGATCGGTTCTTAGTACCAGTTTCTTTGATAAAGAAGAACATTTGTCTACTGTTATTTGTTGCCGCTGACGTTTTCATCGCTCTTGCTTTCGCTGCCTACCATTGTTCGTGATCACTGTGTAGGCTTTTTATCAGCTGGTGCTTAAGCTGACTTCGCTCTTCGTCATGTTCACATCCAGGCGGAATGAGTTTCCAAGCGTCTATCAGTTTGGCAAACGCTACTGAGATCCACGTCTTCTCCCTTATCTTACGGTCTACCTTACTAACAGATATCACTGCTGTTTCCACAGCTTTTTTGATATCATTCCAAGCTGCCTCGGGATGGGAATCACTAACATGGCCGCCAAACTGGTTTGGCTAATTTCCTATCCAATCAGCGCCTGATCGATTCTTGGAGAACAGGGTAGAAAATTCTCGTGTTGTTAGCTGCATGCTGATTGGCTAAATCTAACACAGTCGATCACGCGAATTACAATCCAGAAGCTTCTCATGGAAATACTATAAAGAATCTTACGTTGTATCTATTTCGCCTTCGGCTTCGTGTTTCCATTTAACCTTGCTATTTGGAATATAATCTTTTCCTGTTCCACCGTGTTTTTGATTCTTTGGAACTTGTCCAGTGTATTCTGGCCAGAGAATACTAAGCAATAGGAATTAGCTGGGAATTATTTAAGCAAGCGTTACAACCGGAAGCGTAGGCAGATACAGCGAATAGGCAATGGCGAGTTTCCCTATCTTTACGAGTCCTTACTGTCCCGTTTAGTGGGACTCCGCGTAAACGGCTATATGCTGAGGTCCAGTGAGTGATCTGGTTCCATCCTAAGATTCAACGCTTTACACACACCAGTTAGGCCTCGGGAAGCAGCATCAGGGCTTTCAGATACACGGAGCGTGAATCTAGAGGGTTCTTTATTTGGACAAGGGGAAGTCAAATTTTTCGCTGTACTCGTGTCGTGTTTGCATGTGAGATCCTAAAGTCCTAGCTAAGGAAGCCCGTTATCCTATTTGACACACTGTCCGGACATTATGTAGTTTAGAGTGGCGTTTCTAGAGACTAGGAATAGCGTTTCGTGAACTTGAATCGTTTGCATTAGCGGCGCAGGTCATACAGGAATACGAGAAGGGTTAGTGGTGGAGATAAGAGAGATGTTCGTGTGTGTAGGAAAGATTTGATTGTGATCAGTTTGGTCGGGTACTAGGGCGGTTCTCACTTCCAGTCTGCCTACACCGTGAAAGGGTGTTTCTTGAGGATCCTGAGAAGGGAGTTAGATAAGCGTCGGTCTTAGAGACCTGGGGGCGTGACCGCAGAGCCGAAGGGACAACTGCTTGAGGCCGGTCACGCACGGCTTTTTTATCGGAAGATCTTGAAGTGTTAGCCCCACTCTTCAAATGACCTCACTGCTGGACACGGAAATCTGTGAGGTGTGACATTTTTAGGGTCGACTTTTTCAAACCCCTTCCTTTCTTGTGAGAAGGCAGTATCACTGCAGATGCTGATCGTCCGAAGGAAAGATCTTACTGCTGTCACACCTCCACAGTCAGAAGTACGAATTGGCCCTCAAACTTTAAGTTGCTGCTTTTAGTCTTACCGATCTCCAATCGGTCTGTCTGGCATGGTAGTCCTAAGGGAACATTTGTTCCAGCCCATATACTGGACTTATCGTTTTGTTCAGCAAAAATTTGCGTTTTGTTCGTGTTGTATACTGAGTTGTGAACCAGTCGAATGAAGTGAAGTGTCCAAAATACTAGGCCAAATGAGGAAACGTAACACATGGATACCTTCAATTAGCTGCCTTATTGTTGCATGGTTGAACTGCTTATTAGTTTCTATGCTTAAGCTCTTTGATGATGATTAATTATGAACAAACTGTAGAAGAATCGCGTTCTTTGTGAGTCAACATTTATGTTTCGAAAAGTTTCAGAATTTCTTGTTTAACCCTACTAACTTAGATATGAATAAATTATCAGTTTGTAATTGGTCTTTTTAAAAAATATTTTGCACCTATTCAAACGACTTTCGCATCATAATCTCCAACAACTACAGTATCCTGAAGAAATTCTGAACTACGAATATGCTGAATTCGCTACACGTGGTTTACATTTTGATGTAAAACGAGTATGTTACCTCATTATTTATAAAATTAATTTCTAAAAATAATTTAATGTGGGATAGATAAATTATCAAACAACGACAATCTGTTTGTCTTAATTAACGATTGATAATAACCAATGTTTACTTGTTAATATAGGTCGATTCAACACATTGCTGTTATCCTTTCACACGTAAATTCAATGTACAGGTTGTCACACCAGGTAGTACTTTTACCTATATAAAGGACGGTATTATGACCCTGGTTTGCAAAAATGTAACAGTGGGGTTTAGTTATCAAGCGACGAAATCTTTCAACTACTAGAGTGACTGCCATGACCCAGGCTGCCAACCCTTAAATCCCAACCAAATAATTTCACAAAGCGATATCACTGAGAAAGTGATTGAATATTTAGTTATTGATTTGAAATTGTTATTTATTTAACGTATATTCAATAAACACCTCATGACTGTGAGATAATAACTGGAACTATCAGTAACGAGAATTAAGGTTACAACGCAATTAGTCATCTTTCGTTTCTGCCGATTATTTTATATCCAAATCAACTAAAATAAACTAGTTTGTAGGAAAATGTGGTTATATCCGGTGCTCCTGGTTTATGAAGAACTTATCCCAAGTTTTGCATAGTTATATGAATCAGGGAAATATTACGAGGTCAAATGAAGTAGTAATAATAGTAGTAACTACATATAAATCTGGTATCTGTAACAGCAATTCAATTCTTAGTGAATAGCATTAAGGTTCCTTTGTTGACTGGTTCAACACAAATATTAAAATGGCAAACTGAAAAATAAGTCAGGTATTGATGTCTGTCATCTATATACTTTTGGTTTTACTGCAATAATGTCTTCTGATTGGAATAACACTCTTGAGTAATTAGTTCATCTTTGAGCAAATAGTCTGATGTAAGTTATTAAAATCAAGAAATAATAAACCGCTAGCCTATATACAAGCTATAATACTCGAAATTTAAGGTAACATCTTTATCTGGATAGAGCTTACATCTTGAAGCTTTGGTACTGCTGCTGCTGCTGCTATGGTGGTCAAACTCATAAAATAAAATAACTGTATCATAAGAGTTCATGTGACGAGAATTAGCAATAGAAACATACATAAGATTTTTTTCAGTTTACCCTCTACTAATCTTTTTATTTTCCCATGTTTACTATTTTAATGTCCAGGGTCTACTAATGAAAGTGGATGCATTTCATCATATCCAATTAGATACTGTTTATCGTGGATTTACATTACTATCATTGGATGAGATATTACGAGTTTATCGTGGAAGCCATTTGGCTGGTAATATTTTGAAACAAAAATTTACACCTAACGTGAGTTTCTTTTCATTTATCTCTGAATTATAACACTGGAACCTAGTAGTTTTATCACGTAACGTTGACAATATATTCAAGCTTTTTGTTTTAAATTCCTGATAGATACTCTCTAAGAGATAACACTTTCTTCATTCAACTTTTTAGAGATTGATCTTCTGCAAGAAAATTCCCTTATTGACTTATTTTTGTAAGGGTGTTTCTGCTGCGTTGCTCAAGCATGAATGGGTTGGAAAAAGGATAGGGTCAGGATCCACGGATTTGTCGTAACCAGTGACTGAATACGTTAGTTCATGTCACTCAAAATCAATCACAATGGTTCAGATGTATTTACATTTTTTTTCCTTTAGATCTTGAGTTTGTAAATTGTTTTAGATACCGGCTCAATGGTCCAGATTTTAGGCGTTCGCGCTCATGACCGAAGGTCCTGGGTTCAAATCCTGCGAGGTGCAGAAACCGCAGATGCGCACTTCTGATGAGTCCCGTACCAGGACGAAACGGTCGTTCAGTGCTTCCAGGTTTCTAATCGTGGTCTAACAATGATTGATCGTTGTTTTCAATGTCCAAATTATTCTGTCAGGTTCGCTGAATCAAAGTTTTCATTCATAATGTGTACTGATAAATGAGGCGATGAAAACGAATGTCAAAGGCACTCATTAGTAATACAAGGAATATGTAGGACTTCAGCATTTTATTTGATGCTCATCTTGTAGTTCAAGGTAATAAGTTGTCCAGCCCAAAATTATTTAGCTTATTGTTTTGTTCGCTAGTTTGTCTGTAGGTCCTTATTACTATTATGTACTTCTCGTCACTATCTTCAGGAATGAAAAATTATGTCCAACAGGATAAGTGGTTTATCTTCACAGTGTATTGAACTCAATTTATGATGAACGAGAGTTACCATTCCTGTGTTTAAGACATAAGTTTCATTTTTCTTGGTAATAAATAATCAATAGCATATGTCGCATTAAAGGGACTTTGCCACATTTGTAAAATATGAATTTCATGGTAGAGGTTATAAAACTTATTGCCGTACGGGGCCCATTTATAAGAAGTGTAAAGTATACGTCTTACGACTTATGTCTTAGGAACTTGTGGTTACTAAATAAATCGGTAACTATCATTTAGATGATTTTTCTTACACATTTTAGGACACTATTATGCTTCAGTTGATGGATTTCTTCCAGTTGCCGGAAATTAATCTTTTGTGTTCTATTATAGATGTAAGTCAGATTAGAAGCATTTTATTTTTTAATAATTTTGAAAACTATTATTGTCGCACTTTAAAATACTGTCACACTCAGTTCATCTTTTTGTTACAGCTACTATTTTATAACATATTTTCTGTGTAAAAACATATCAGCTTGTATCTGGATCAATTAGTGGATGAGTCTGTTAAGTTATACATAGTAGTTCTTTTAGTTTTACAAATATTTTTTTCATTATAAGCTGATACTAGTTAAAAAGATATCTTTTCATATCCCACCCAGTTTAAGCTAGTTATGCATGATGTAATGGTCGGAGAAAAGCTTCATTTCTTGGGAATTGGAATGTGTTACGTAATATATCATGTTGTTCCTATACAAACTTCACGCGAAACTGGATGAAAAATGGAGAAGATACAAGTAATACAGAAACCTGCAATAGTTAAGTCAATTCGAAGAAAAGGGGGATAACCAGCACACAAGTAGAAAATATCAACAACAAAATGAATTAGTGAAAAAATAGACATATTAGTAGGAGAAAGATACATTCTCATCACTGGTAGTCAAAAACCGGTCGAAGCTCAAAGCAATATAAGTGGTAGGTGTCAGATTCACTGAAAGAGCCGTTGAATTCACTTGAATAGTGCACACGGGGTCTATTCAAGCCAGAAAACTGTTTTGGTTACTCGGAAATATTTATATATATTGTACATAAATAACATAAGTTGGTTTTATAATAAATCTTACTTAATTAAAGTTTATACTCAAGATAATAAGACAGCAACAGTCAATCGTAAAACAGCCCAACGTAAAATGATGCGTTTAAATGTCTGTGCAAAATATTTGGCAACTAACAAGAACATAATCGATTTGTCGATAATTAACCAGAACATCCAGCCCAGAGAAAGAAACACCACCAAATTCATCCACCTGAGCTACAAATTTTCTCCACCATCTCTTAAGTAATTCAATCAATGAGATACAAGTTGGATGATCCTGGCTACTAATAAGTAATATAGTCGTAAAACGAGAATTTCGTTTAACATATGTTATTGATTGGTTCTTTCTTATCGATCGTGATTAAAATTACTAATGGTCTAGAATAATTATGCGGTTTCTTGCACTCCACACCGATTTAAGGCTGGGGCGCCCTGTAGGTCCCTCTGAGATTATTAAGACTTTGGAATTGTTTTTGGATTTTAGCTTGTTCAGATTTCGAAATTTTTACGAAGAAACAGTCGGTGTGGCTATCAGATCATCATTTTTCTTAATTGTTATCGGAAACAAGTATAATCTCAAAATGTGTATTTTCACTAAAAATTCGGTTGAGGTACTTAGACTATACCAGTTATTGTAAGACGACATGAATTGACGAACTTTTTAAGCATTTCACATCAGTATTTCAGTTGGTATCAAATTTACCAGGTACGGTATCTGCTGACCGTAAACTAGGATTTTTTGACTGTTTGGTTAAAGGCGAAAGTAATAATTGTTTGTGACTTAGTATATTCCAAAAGTCCATTAAATTTTGGAAAAAATACTTAGATTACAGATCAGCTTTATGCCTTTCAAAATAATAGTCACTAATAGTCTGATTAACAGAGTTCAACAACAAATTATAGAATTGGGACATAAGAAGACCTATTTGTATCTAGTTTTGTTTACATCGATTATGAATGGTTATCCCAAGAACTTTACAAGTAAATTAATTAAGAACGAAACTCAAATTAATAGTTAAAAGCCTGACTAAATGAGTGATTACCTGAATGTATATACTATACCGAAAATAAACTGTGGTGGAAATCTACCGAATTCGAAAACATCGTTGGAGAATTTTTTTTCTCGTTCGAATTATGTTGTATGTTTTAAGTTAGTAAAAATCAATGATACTATAGCAATGGAAGATGTTCAAGTGTGATTTTCCGATTCCTCTCTATTGATATACAAGCTTCCTATATGCGAGCTTAAAACAGCTACTTGAGTGAGAAAGAAGCCTAATTAACTAAAACCGAATTCTCTAGGAACCTTAGATACCTCGAAAGTATTTTTTATAAAGCAGTACATTCAACAGAAACTGGGCACTTAATCGACTTCGATGAGGTAAATATCATTCACGTAGATTTTTTTTCTCGTAAAGAAAGAATTAAATTATATGAAGATTGAAATACTAAGTTAGTAGAGAAGCAAAGCAAGTATATCATTTTCTTCGTAACTATCGACTAATTTACTCTTGTGAATAATGGGTTACTTTTTAAATACCCTAAACAGAAGCGGTTTTGTTAATGGCCACCTTAGAATTTGTTATAGTGGTTTTACTATCAAGGCACTGAACGAACGTCAAGAGTACAGTACTTAATATTCTGTAACTAAAATAAGTTTGTTCACTTCTCGCCCCATCAGGATCTTCATGCTCATGTACGTGTTTTTCAAACCTCTTAGGTAGATCTTAAGTATTTATTAACTCTGTTTGCTAGCCAGACGTTCACTCATCGTTCTCCCACTTCCGTAGGGAAACATTCACCGGGGGATAAGATTGGGTAAAACTATCCTGAAACAGACTATAAAGCCATGGCCTTATGGAAGCGTTTTGAGAGGAAAAGCTGACTCACCTCACTCTTCCGTATCATGGCACCCAAGTACTATTAACGGTAATAAATATACCCCACAATAAGTTGATTTTATGTAATCGTACCATTGCAACTGTTGATTAATGAGTAAAGATAAATTTACTTTGTTACATCTATTTCATCTTATGTTTTGTGAACAGAAATTATGTACTTTCATTTGTTTCAATAATTTATGATGCCAATTTTTCCTTGTTAAAAGTTCACCACATTTTATGCAAAATGATTCATATTCACACCCTAACAATCAACAAATTCAACATCCTAACGTGATTGGATAGTCGTTTTGTACATAGCTTTTTTGCGAACCTATTTTTGTATACGGTAATTTTGATATTTGATTATTTCACTGAAAAAGCTCGAACTAGATTGCCATAATTTCAATCACTGAGATTTTTAAAAAATATTTCTTTTCATAATTACATCTTCTGTATGTTCGATTCTCAACGAATATGAAACTATTTGTTCAAATGTGAACAAAGTTGTTATAAAACCAGAGATTTACATTTTTCAAAAAGTTCAATATAAGATATTAAGTGTTTTAAAGAATATTTGATCTTCGTATACTACATAAATGAACTTAAAATATAGAGATATTTGATTAATATATGCAATTCTGTACTTGTGAATGATGTTATTATTTAGAATTATTTATTAAGGTGATCTTTTATTAAGAGTTCGTGCTTCCATGTAATCCTTGTTGAAGATTTCTGAATTCTCGAAGATATAAGTTGAATATTAATGATGACCAACGTAACATTGAAAACAATGCAAAGATTTATTTGCCTGGCATATCCAAGGCAATTGAGATCATAAAGTTTTGTCATTTACAAAGAATAGGCAGCTCTTTTCACTTTTCTAAAGTATGTATTAATCATCTTAACAAATGAGCCATGTATCAAGAAGTAATGCATTTTTTTTATTTATTTATTTATTTACTTACTTACTCTTATTACGACAACACTTTTTTCTTAATGAATTCTTTTCTAATTTACAGTTTTTTGATCGACGTGGAATAGATTATAAACCTTTTTATGTTTATCAAGATGTTTCTGTAAGTATTCTCCAATTTATTTAATAAAATAAAAAGAAGTTTCATTTTATTATTGTTACTGTTGTTATAGTCTTGTAAATATAAACCTTTCCTACGATGTAACATTTGAAATAATCAATGTAATTATCAAGATTTTCAAATGAATTGAGAGTTAAGTTGATTGTTAGTAATGAAAATAATATATTTTCAGTGGTCCCAGTTGAGTCGGCTAGCTAGTGTAACTGGACAATTAATGAAGAAAATGATTTGGTTGTCCATGTATAATAGTTACTTGGGGCCAGGAACCGAAGAATTATATTTAACAATAAGAGTTGTATCAGCCTTATTTACTAATTGTGTGTCTTCTCGGTAAAATCAATATACCTATCACTGAACAAATATACATGATATTAAATGATTTTCTCATGATTTTATTAGTAAAGTATGCGCTGAACATACGATATAAACGTAGTATTAACCTATGAATTACTATGATGGAACAACTGTTAAAGGTTTTATTTGAGATGAGGAAGATAATTTAATTAACTGTTATAAATACACATCAATTTCCATTTCCATTGATGTTTAATTCTAAATCAAAGAAACATAAATGGTTTTTGTTGCAACAGAACAAATATTAGGGAAATTAAAACTCCTGGCTATTCTACAGATTATTATCTATATGTTTCTTGTTACATTTCTGTATGCTTCATATCGTAAGCTCTCAGCAAATCTATTAACTGTTGTTGTGTATTTTGATTTTATTGGTGTTCTCCCGTTGTTAAGTATAGATCGTGTGCAATCGTATTTGCGATTCAACAACAAAATCTGAAAACTAACGAAAAGAACATCAATATCAGAACTTATTGCAAAAGTAGTGGCGCAGAGACTAGAAGCCTTGATCAAGCCAAAAATGTGGGTTCGTTATGTAGACGACACATTTTCATCAAAAAAAGGAACGAGGTAGAAAACACCTACAATCTGATCAACAAAGCCTTTGATGATATAAAATCCGTTATTGAAAAGTTGTCAAACAACAGATCATTCCTGGATGTGTTAATCAGTAGAACTGACGAAGGAAAACTGGAAACTTGAGTATATCAGAAGCCAGCCCATACATGTCTAATTCCCAACTACAGTAGCAACAACCCAAGAACTCACAAAGTCACCCGTATACAAATCTTATTCAAGAGAGCGAAAACAAAGCAGCGCACATAAAGCACGAAAAAACGAAGAAAAATACCTGATGACTATCTTCCAAAAGAACTGATATCCGCGCGCAACTTCATCAAAAAAATATTAACCTAAACTATCAACAGAACCGAGATCACATACAGGAACCCACAAACGGGCCACCCTACCATATATAAAAGACATATCGGAAGTTGCGGTAAGATGACTGAAGTCATTTGAAATAGGTGTAGCACATAAACCAACAAAATCACTTCAATCAACCCTATATAAGTCAAAGGACATAATGATAAAAGAAGAAAAACCGAATGTTATGTACAAAATAAACTGTTCAAACTGCGAAAAACATTATATCGGACAAAGTGGACGTTCTATTCAGCTTCGCCTACACGAACATCAATTAACAGTCAAACTCCATGACATTTCTCCCCTTATATTCGGACAACCGTGGACTTACATTCAATAGGAGAAATGTTGAAATATTGGATAAAGCGAGTACAAAGAACACCAGAGAATTTTCATAAACTTAGCACTCAAGTTAATCGGCAATCAATAAGCATATCGACAACGAATTAGAAAAATCATAGTTAAAAAGAAGATCGAGATACAGATCAGAGGGATAAAATCAAAAATAAAGATGCAGACAACGACTGGTTTAAGCTCAATAACAACCAATGAAAACCGAGGTCAACAGTTCAAACTACGAGTCATTTTTACCTGAAGTTTGTGCTGATGATGTTCAGAAGTGCAATGAAAAGCTCTAAAACCAAAACACCATTATCATCTACCTGAGCTACGAATATATATATATATATATATATATATATATATATATATATATGGTTGCGTAATTTTTACCATACTATTCTAAAAATCTTTCTAAACAGTAACAAATGATTTAGCTTATGTTTATGTTCAAGAAATATAATCCTCTGATCGGAATTTTCGGTTGGGAAAGGCTTCATTATTAAGGTAAATATTATTATAGTATTCTGTTCTAGATCAAATTTACCAACCAAAGCATTAATTTTAAAGATATTTTCATCCAACTTATTTGAATTCCATCATGTGTTGTATGTGCTTTGATTATATTTCTAGTTTACTACTTATTTATTTATAGTTAACATGATACTGACAAATTTCATCTCATTTTTACTTATCTTTTAGACAGCAGTGGCAAGAGTTCATAAATCTGGCCTTCTAGGTCAAACCGTAATGTCTGATCCAGGTAACTTAATGTGGTCTGTTTCCAATTTGAATGTGTATTTTTTGTATAATAAATTTTTAATCAATCTAAATGAACTGAATACCCTATTTCCCGTCTACTTATAACCCCAGATTAGATCCACTCAACGATTGGGACACAAGAGAGAAGGCGCTTAGTACGAGAAGAATGCTTTACTCCAATGTAGGGTTATGTACAGAAAAAAGCGTATTTATCGAGTTGCTCATGACTTCGGGTTTCTGGAAGGTTCGAGAACCACACTAAATATATTAGCAGTATGGCTAAATATCCAGTCAGGGTCGTGGTACATGATTCAACATTTTCCGGATGTTTCTTCGATGATATTCAGTGCTGATTAGATGAAACGTTTCCTGGTTTTCCTGGATCTCCAAATACTTTTTAGAGAGATATTTCGAAGCTGTCCAATAATTTTCGATAATTGTTATTCTCCAACATTGTGGTTTTGAACGATTCAATCGTTCACCATTCGTTTTGGTGTTTTCAGCGGTACTTGAAAACTATGGGAGGTGTATTTTCACCACCTATGTCTTATTTCGAGATAGAATTCGAAAGCTTTAATTATCTTAAGAAGTTGCTTTGCTTGAAATTCAATTTTTTAAATTTCTTAAATTCATATAATTCTTGATATAGCCTAACAGGTTTGTCAATAATAAGTGCTCATGAGGAACTTAATGCATTCCATTCTCAATAAAAGTTGCTTTATGAACATTTAAAATCTTTTCAATTCTTATACTTCAATTATTTTTATTAATCTCAGATTGTCTAACAATACTGTGTCTAAATAAAAAGCATTCAAGCTTAAGACATAACTCTTTGTAGTTTATCTCTTCTTATGTAATAAACTATTTCAGTTGGTATTGTGACAAACCGTTAAACCTATCACAATATCATTTATTCAAGATCTCAAATTCTTGACGTAAACGGTGTAAATTTCCTAGTTTTGTATCGGGTGATAAACGAAATATATGGCTGGTAATATAACTGAAAATCGTGTGCTCTAATAAGATAACATACACTCTTTATCCTCCTTCAAGCTTAAAATTTTTTATTATTTCTCTGTATGTGATGACGTTCGCAATTTATTTTCACCCAGCATTTTACTCCTGATGACATGACTACTTCCATTGCCTTTTTTTCATCCTTATCTATTACTTTCCGAAGATATGATTAGAAGGTTCACAAAATTTGTCATAATAATTTATTAACAGTTTATTTTATCAGTAGGCACTTTGTATATTATTTGTCTTTATTGGTATTGGTATTGAGATAATATTACCCGAGTAATATGTAAAACTTAACTTGTAAAAAGTTATTGAGGTATTTACTGTCTATGATATAATTTTCTTCAGTTCAGTTAACGTATATGTCTGAAGGTGCTCTCCATCACCGTAACTAAGTGAACGACTATCCTAAGTCAACGGATTCTGGATAGTTGTTTAATACTTTCTAATAGACAGTCAGCTGTTGTTATCTGTAATCCTTTGTATAAAATACAAGAATATCAGTTTTTTAGTTATGTAATCTTGATAGAACAGTGAGAAGACGTAATTGATCTGAAAAATGTGATGTATTTGCGCTATACATTTCGAACAATCTGGTCACACATATTTACTTGTCAAGGCATTTTATATGAAGATGAATAAAAGGTCAATTAAATAAAAGTTCAAATAGACATAGGGTGATAATTGTAAATAAAGGAGAGAGAAAATTAACGTAATATGAAAAGAATAAGAAGGGGTAGGAAAATTGTCACATTACCCTAGGCTTAAAGATTACCAAGGTAAATTCGAGGTTATGACAAATTGTTTCTGCACACATAAGGGGGGTTTTAATTTTCTAATAGCCAAGGCCTCCATAAACCTCAAAATTCGTCCTTCAACATTTCTATACAATGTTTTGAAGGCTGTCTTGATGTCAATCTTATGCCCTGTCTCAATTATGTGTTTGGCGATCGATATGTAATCGCTTTGTCAATCTTAGCGATTGCATCACGTATGGTTTCTTTTAATACAAAAAAGTAACGTACTTTGCAGAAGCTTCGGAATAGACAGGGACGTTCACATTATTATTCTATTAATGCTTACTTTTTAGGAAGTTAAGTTTTGGTTTACTAAATGCATTCAGCCTATTGTGATTATACTATACATTTTAACTTTACAGAAAAATATATTGTAAAGGAACCTCAGTTATCTACATTCTTACAACGCTTAGTAGAAAATAATAAGAAGTTATTTGTTATTTCAAACAGTTCAGCTGCTTACATGTAAGTTTACATCGTGAACATTCATTTTTTAATTTGTCAACTGTACAATCTCTAAGCTTTCAAAATCTATTAAATATTCGATATAAATTCAGTCATTTAACCTATACGAATAAGGTTAATCAATTTTATGGTCAAAAAGTCGACCCAGTAAAACATTGTTAGAATACACAGATATACGGTGGGGAAAACAGCTTATGAGTGTTAGATTGTAAACCCAGTTTATTAGTATATATAATTTAAAGTGGGCACTAAAAAAGATTACACTTGAAATATCAATAAAACCTTGGCGATTTGATCATCCGATTCAGAATAGACATCATAGCTAAATACCTTGAATTTGCTAAATGTTTTGTGCTAACCTAAGTTTTTGTTTTATAAGTAAATATCGAAGATTTCTTATTAAATATGTTTGCAAACGTTTCAAGCAATTGTTTTTTTGCACAAAGGATACAACTTAGTTTCTTTTCTGAAGACATAATAAACCAGTAATCACTTGAGTGCAAAAAGCAAGATATTTCCTAGTTAACTTATTGAAAAATCCCATTATCAATACTAACACCAAAACTACCATTAAATCAGATGGGGACATTATTGCTGAGCGGATAGTAATTTTATTGGTATTAAACAACATGTTTCCTGTTTTTTTTAATGGGGAGAATTTCATATAAAAAATATGTTCATGTCAATATGCAAATCGACATTTCATTCGCATGATTAAGTTCACTGAGTTTGCTCCTATTTCGATTCTCCCTTTTATTCATTCATGCACTCATCAAAAGCAATCATATGGCAATTGTAGAGCATACATTAGTTTAGATATGTTAAACTGTACGTTCTAACGGAGAGAGAGAGAGAGAGTAGGTAACTGTACGCCTTGCTTGATATTGATTATATACTGCTTCTTCTGTTTCACTTTAGATAGTTGAATAGTATAACAGAATTCCTCAGTGAGTGCCTGCCCCAAAGTGGTGCATGTTAACCTGTTCTTTCTAATTAACTTGGCTTGTTATTACCGCACTGTGTTATGAATGTGTTACCTTAAAGTTGTTTCTTCTCATGAATATTTACGTTTGTTTGTATTATGCACTTGTTAATTTATCTTGTTTCTATAATTCATAACTATAAGAGACAGGGGTTTAAAATTTTTGGTTGGAAATAACTGGCAAGAATTATTTGACGTAATCATTTCGAGAGCCAATAAACCGACGTTCTTTAAATCACCACTGGGGTTAGTTTTATTTGATTTTCTTTTGTTCATTTGTATCCAGTTTTATTATTCATATTATTTTGTTTCTGTGTTTGCTTTTAATACTTCAGTTATGTTTATATTAAGGATTCTAATTATAATCACCAAAAAACTCACTTTTTTCATCACTATTAGTCTACCTTTCTTTTGTAATACCTATTAATCTTTAAAATGGGACCGACGGCTTTGTAACCAAACATATATATCATGTTTTCAGAATATTAATGTAAGTAGTAAATTTCAATTATTGTTCTATGAGTGATCAGATCACTCGAAATGTACTGAATATTTTTCTGGTAAACTGCATTCTGTCACCACATTTTCGAAATTTTGAACTTGAACAAACTACTATAAATAGTGTTGTCGCTTTTTAGTAAAGATCTCCTAGTTGTTATCACAAATTCACGTGCAATTCGTATTTTATTATCATCTGAAGTGAATAGTCTAATGTTCCAATGTAGTTTGAATTTATTAATGATTGTCATTCCTGCTGATTTGTCTGTTCATACGCTTTCTTTAGTGTCGCCTCAAATATGCAATGTAGTCATGTAGTTATCTGAATGACTTCTGTAAGTTGACGCTCTTTTAAACTAGCCTTATTCTAAAAATTTTATTTCGATTTGGTTGTTTTAGTAGACAGAGTTGTACTCTTTTTAATAATTAAGTAGTTAAATTTATTTTGAAACCATTGTTTTGTTTATTATATTTTTCATAAGGCTTTCTAATTATTATTGTCGAATAAACACTTCTCTTCTCTCATAATCACTTTTATGTAGTAATATCCATAAATTTAACCTACCGTAATTCGATTACCTATAGGTTGATCAATATCAGCATTCACTAATGTTAATTTATGTAGCATGAACGATTGTGACTCTCATTTAAGCTCATTATATTCAACAAATAGTTATCTTTCGGTTCAATAACGACAAAATTAATGCAATTTATGTTTATATATATACTACTATGTGTAGTCCATTGATTTACAACGAAAGAATAGATGATAACTATATCATGTGAGTTGTGTTGAAAGTTGAATAAATTAAGAAGATTAGGAATATTACATGTATAGATTCAATACAAAATATCTAACTGTTATCACTTAATCGTAAGTATATTTTCTCTCGATAAAGTAGTTGGTCCAACTAGAAGAATCGAAAACCCTGCCTAAAACTTGTTATGGTTGAGGATGTATTGACCATATCTTCACCATCCTCCAAATGTTAGAGCATCACCACACTTATCGCAGGTCAACTATCGATGTTTCTCAACATCAGGGCTTCTCTCAATTTGTCGGACAGTATGGTTCTCTGGAATTTCCCATTAAAGAGAGATGTACACTCTGAAGGCCTTATATACAAACACCTAAGGTAGAGTGTGGGAATACAACTATCTCCATTGTTCTATTCAAGCAGTGAGGTTAGGTAGTATTGCTTAATCTCACCGTTACTCTTCAACGTTGCTATCGATGACGTTCCGGAAATAGCTCTGACGGATGTAGTTAGCATTATTGGGAATCTGTTGCCTAAAGAAAGGCTTTCCGACTTCGAGTATATGGATGACATCATCATACTGTGCAAAAAGTATCAGGTAGTGGAATCTACACTTAATCATTTGGCAATCAGTGTCCATAGTTATGGCACATTGCTTGCATCTTTTAAGTGCGAAGTACTTTTACAAGGCTGGTAGGACCCTGGACCTGCACTCATTCTTGGTAGTGAACAGATAGAAGTAGTCGAAAAGTTCATGTATCTGGGTAGCTGAGTAAGTGCTGGTGGTGACGTGAGTGGCGAGATCAATGCACATATCGTTGAAATCAGAGCGGCCCTTTGCCACTCTGGAATATCTTTGGCACCTTCGTAATGTTAATCTAATCTGGCTGTAAAAGGTCAAGTCTACAATGAATTTGCGAGAATATTTTTGATCTATGCTCATGAAACCTGGTCTCTCCGAGTTGAAGATATTAGTAAGCTTTTTATGTTAGATCACCAGTGTCCCTGAAATATTGCTCACATTCAGTGGTAAAGTCATGTTAGTAATGCAGAGGTTCGGCAGCGTGTGTTCGGGCACAGCAACGATTATTTATTTGATGTTACCACCTTGAAATACCGACTTTGGTGGCGTAAACATGTACTACGCATTTCACATCGTGTATTATCCGCTAACGCTAAGACTGGTTGGAAAAAGCAGGGAGGTGGTCAGTGCATGATTTGGTATCGTGGCATGAAAGAAAGCTGTGTAGGACTGGCATCTGTTGGTCTTTCACAACTCCGTGGTTGGGGTCCTAGAGTTGGTGGAACTCAGTGGCCTTAGGTGTTATCAGACTGCTCAGAATAGAGATCAGTGGCGTTCCTGCTGTAATATTATTTCATTTTCATATAATTAGATTTAACTTCTTTAACTTAAAGATTCTTTCTGATAGTATTTTCTCCTAGTATTATTACTATTATTTCAACCTCATACACTAATTTCTATTCGTTTTTTTGTTATATTCAATGTTCTCTATCTCTTCACAACCTCATTTTTATTGTGTGGTGCATTTATATTTTGGTGCCTCCTTGTATCAATGTTTATGTGTTTTGAATGAAAATAAGAATCTCAATATGATCACTTATACTGGTTCTACCGCAATTATTTAAAATTTCAAAACTCAAGACTAATTGGGAATATAGTGAAGAACTGCCTCCCTAAATCCTGTCTAACTCCTAATCCAATTCAATGAAATTACTAGCCAAATGTACGATCAATAATTTTATGGGTTTTCATTTTGATCTCAGTCTAAGTGGTATATTTCAATCCTAGGTCGGAAGGTTTGATTCTCGATTATCTATGGAATTTTCAGAATGAGATGAAAATTGATTAATGATTGTCCACTTTCAGATATTAGATACAATAGAAAATGAAAAACATCTGATATTTTTATTCAAATTTCTTAAAACTCTTCAAAGAAAGCCAAATAAACTAGAAAGATATAGAAGGACAATGTCTTACTATATGCTTGTACATTTTTGTGAAAATAGGTCGTCTATTGTATAAAGTTTAAAAAAAATAACAACAGTTAAGTAGAATAATAAGATTTGCCTGAGTATAAAAATTCTTACAATTAAGGCTCATTATAATTCATTCACATTCACATCTAGTCTAGAAAACCGTAGCTCATGATTCTAAAGATCATTTAGTGTGCTCATCGTATTAAACAGTTGAACAATTTAAAACTAAAATATCAGTGAAACATTTCACTTCTTAATTTCAATGTATCTCCAAATAAAGCATATTTTCCTCACATAAATTTTGCGTTTATACAAACAGAATTTAATTAATCGTATCAAATGTAAATAAAGTAGTAAGAACAAGATTTACAAAATAATATGAATTGATTATATTTCACGATTTTTTATTAGCTATGAACTAATTGAATTTACATTAGTAATATTATTAGTATAAAATGTTTTACATGTTGTAATCAATCAAGTTTTATATGAAACGATCCAAGAAACAGGAGAAAACAACGTATTTGGCAAAACAGTTAAGATCGGTTTTTTTCCGTATTACCATAGCCTATACAGGTCAGGTCAAAACTACTTAATTGCAACGGCGTTTACATAGCCGAGTAAAAGTTTACGAATCTTGTTATTTATTGTAAACGTTTTTAATGTCCAAATTTCGTCCACTATCTGTTAAATATCTAGTGATTGCACTTGCGCCCTAGTCAGAGCGCGTATTTATTTGCGACTTAAAGGACTTAGGAAAGACACCGCAAGAAAACCTGTTAGGGTTTTACTAAATGTTAGCATAGCTAAGAATACATTTCAAGAACAACTAGAAAACGAGTTTGGCGGCCATGTCAGTGATTCCCATCCCGAGGCATCTTGGAAGGATATCACAAAGGCTGTGGAAACAGCAAAGATATCTGTAAGGTAGACCGTGGATCTCAATAACATCTACCGAACTGATGGATGCTCGAAAACTCATCCTGCCTGACTCTGAGTGCGATGAGGAGCAAAGTCAGCTTAAGCGCAGGCTGATGAAAAACCGCCTACGCACTGATCGCGAACAGTAGTGGGTGGTGGCAAAAGCAAGAGCGATGGAAAAGGCAGTGGCAATAGGTAACAGTAGACAGTTGTCCCGACTTATCAAGGAAACTGGTATTAGAAATCCATCTGTTATCGTAACTTTCTGAAAAAAGAATGGTCTTTTTATTAATTCTCAATTCAGGAGATTCGATCGACGGGCAGAACACTTCAGGGTTCAGTCCCACTGGCCTTCAGCCACACTTCGGTTGCCCACGATCTCCAGTCATCCTGAATGACAAATCAATGTAAGTCCTCCTAGTCTTTTTGAAGTTGTGAAAGCTATAGAAAGGCTGAAGCTAGGGTGGGCAGCGGGTCCCGATAGATTAACCCTTGAGATTTTAAAGATGGTGGTACAGTTTTAGCAGATGGATTGACTGAGATCGTAGTTAGAATTTGGTAACTGGACCTAATCCTATCTGACTAGTCTCAATCCCTGATTGTCCCAATTTATAAGAAAGAACAAAAGTCCTCTGAGAACCAAACACCACCACAAACATCCACCTGAGCTACAAATTTTCTCCACCATCACAGAACAAAAGTCCTGTTGTGACAATCACAGGGGTATCGGTTTAACTAACAAAGTATCTAAATTGTCAGCTTCTATTATACTTAGACGCCTAACTAGAGCTCGTGAAGAGCGGACTAGAGAAAACCAGGCAGGTTTTCGACCTGGAAGCGGTTGTATAGACCACATCTTCACACTACGACAGGTCCTGGAACACAGACACACATTTAGGCGTTCGACAACAGTTGTCTTCCTGGATCTTAAGGCGGCATTCGACTCAGTGGACCGTGAGGTTCTGTGGCAATGTCTATCATTGAAAGGTGTACCAGAGAAGTACATTAACCTTATACAAGCTCTCTACTCGAACACCACAGGTCGAGTGGGAGCTTATGGCGAACTGTCATCCGAATTGATTTCTACAAGGGATGTCCACTTCCCCCATTCTTGTTCCATTTTGTCATAGACATGCTGTTAGATATAACATTATGTTCGTCTCAATATTCAGGAGTAGACCTTCTACCATAAGGCTCGCTTATTGACTTAGAATACACCGATGATGTAGTTCTATTTGGTGAAGACGCTGACAAAATGCAGTATTCTGACTACCCTAAAAAGCAATGCAAGCATGTTCGGGATGCGATTCTCCCCGTCGAATTGCAAAATGTTGCTTCAATATTGGCTTTGGTTATCACCTGAAATAGTGATAGGGAGTGAAGCAGTTGAGCGTGTCGACCGCTTTACTTATATCGGGAGTCTCACCGGTGCCGATGACCTGGTGACTGACGAAATCTCAGCACGGATACGAAACGATCGATTGGCGTTCGCCAAGTTGCGTCACTAACGGCGTAGGCGAGATATCTGTTTGCTGACTAAAGGATGAGTGTACTGCGCAGTAGTTCGCTCCGTCCTACTATAAGGATGAAAAACGTGGCCGGTGAGTGTAGGACACATCCGTAGGTTAATAATATTTGATTATAGATGTCTTCGAAACATTACGCGTATATCCTGGCACAGCCGAGTAAGCAATGCTGTTGTTAGGAAGCGAGTACTTGGTAGGGGTAGCAGATAAATTGAACTAGTGAAACTCTGTCAGTTGATTGGTTAGGAATTGTTACGAATGTCCAACCACCGACTGCCTCAATGAGCTTTGTTTTGTGGTGTAGGAGTAGGCTAGAAGAAAGCTAGAGGTGGTCAAACCCAAACATGGTAGAAATCCATGAAGTCACAAGTGGACTGAGTCATGTTGGCAGATGTAGACTATCTGGTTGGGTTCTGGGCAACGAAAGTAACTGATGATTAGAGACGTTGAACGACATGGCTCAAAATCGTTTGCAATGGCGTATGTGCATCCACCCGTTGTGTTCTTTGAAATTCTAATCTTCATAATTCCCCATCACCTCAACCATTTTCTTTCTAACCTTATCTCACTGAATTATACTTCTTGAATAATATCTTCGAACCCTAATCTTCTCCATTACCACTAATACTTCTGCTATCTTTACCACTATAGGATTTGAACTGACAAATGCGTCTCTGTGTTGATGCGGTATGGCAACTTGAACTTATCTGCTCATGTACGAAGTTCTACGTGGTAACTGACTGACTGATTGCACTTGCGAATACTTTACTGTCTTTCAAACACAACTTTTTGGTCATATTCGGAAAACTTTCTAGACATCCTTATTTCACTGTTTACCATATACTTGTTCCCAAAGTGCATGTAAGATAGTCGCATCACTTCAACATTTATAGATTACACCATCCCTTTACGGCATCTTATAATGTAAAATAAAACATTCTCTATTATTCACGCACCACTCTAACTTTGATTTTATGTCGACCAGGTGTTTTGTTTATCACTCACTTGTTAATAGTTTGTCTCTCTCTCTCTCTCCCTCATTGTTATAATTTATAAATTCACTTTCATTCTCTGTGTGACTTCATCCACAACATCCAAAATAATAATCAATCTTAACTATTGTTTTAAATATGTTGTTTTGTCGTACATCCTTTCATATAAAACTTGATTGATTACAACATGTAAAACATTTTATACTAATAATATTACTAATGTAAATTCAATTAGTTCATAGCTAATAAAAAATCGTGAAATATAATCAATTCATATTATTTTGTAAATCTTGTTCTTACTACTTTATTTACATTTGATACGATTAATTAAATCCTGTTTTTACAACTGGTGTAAGTGAATCTAGTAAATTTCGATTTGTTTTCCAATCTGATGTGTTGTAGTAGCCTAAATGTTAATTTTTACAATATCTTATTTTATGAAGTTTCTACATCAGTATTTTATCCTTTCTAGGAATAAAAACTTATGTGAATTGTATTGTAAATTAAATTAATGTAAATGATCGAACAATTTTGTGTTAACAAGTTTCCTGGTGATCGAGATAGAAAAATAAGCGTGTTCCTTTGAATATTGAATAATGTTAGAATTGAAAGTAATCTTTCCGACTATAGTTATACGTCTGTACTGATGAATGGATTATATCTTTGGAGTTGGTAATATGTAGCATTATATTGCTTTCCAACTAAGAATGTATAAATATATATTTCAGTTACTAATATACATATCATTGAAAACGTATACCGTTGTTATTTTCTAGACAAATTTCCGCTGTAATCATTCTAATGATATCTGTTTTCTCATTATACTGTTGCTCATATTAATAATATGCATCATTTATAGGGCGATAGATTCTATTAACTGATTTGTGAATAACATATCCCTGCATTTTTCCCTTGCATACTTCATCATCCTTTCAATATGATTTAGTCACTTTAATTTCTTTACCATTTTGTAGGCAATTTCGCCGCACTGATATTAGTGGAACTTTTAAACACTGGGAAGCAGTTCAAACATTTAAACGAGGTCAAATATATGAGGGAGTATGTCTTTGATTATTTTGTGAAATATATTCACCTTAATAATGATAATAATAGCCCTATTCATTTTACAGATCTAAAGTAGATAGTTGTATAATACTAAATTTACGTTTGGAAAAATAGTAGTCCGATATTTTGGACGGACTCGAGTGCATCTGTCAAATAATACTCAATGTTGACCAAAGTCGTCAGTCGATATGAAACACTATGTGCACTATTTGAACGGAGTATGAAGAAAACCTTTATTTATTATTTGAACTTCCTTCACTTTGTCATACTCCGTCTGTTTTTAGAATGTGACACTGTCATATGTGTCACAAAACTTATTGAGTTTGTACTTTATAATAACTAGTCGATCATTATTGTTCAAATGATTAGCACTCTGCTGATCAACCGGGATCTATATTCATTTCCATGTGATTTTGCCATATGAGTTTTGTATCAAATAACATTTGTAATCTATGTTACACACATAAAACTATTCAACATTCAATAAACCGAACACTATAGAGCTGGATCTGATTCCTCTCGATTATTATATGACTAGTATTTCAGTCGATTGCATAGTTCACATCACGTATGTATCGGGATATTCGATTAGATTCCTTTACAACATTGTTGTGTAGTTGTACATTTCTGTTGACCCTGGATTCCTTGTTATGAATAACATATCAAATGTCCTGTGCGAAATTTGTTAACAATAAAATTCCAAGTAATAATATTTAACTGGGTACTTAGTGCCTATTGTTGACTTCAATTTGATTAACTTTGTACACCTCTCTGCAACCTGGAGATGGAATATTGAATACCAGTTGCTTTTAGGACATTTATATTTTAGATATTTATGTTAGCAGGCGAACTGAACGGGTGAATATGAAATACGAATAGAGAGGCAAACAGAAGAGGTTACAAAAGCCAACTCAATGATTAATACGTGATTTAGTCATTAAACATGAATAAACACGTATGAATTATGGATATCCAATTAGATAAACAGACACATGTATGTTCTAAGTTAATGGTGAATAACTGACAACAGCACATTTATGCAAATAGATACGGAATAATATGGGCAGATTATGATAAACGATCTAGTCGAGAAAGTTATTATTAAACATACTAAGGTCAGAAAATAATCACAACAAGAGTTTGTCAGTTTATCATTAGTTTTTGATATGATTGTAAATTTATTATTAAAGGTCAGAAAATAATCACAACAAGAGTTTGTCAGTCTGTCATTAATTCATCATATGATTGTAAATTTATGATTAAAGTGATCTACGGTCATCACATGGTGCATTGTAATTTGCTATCTCTTTCTCCCACAGATTCTGAATTGAAATTTATGTATTATCCTAGATAAGATATTATTTATAAACGTAAAGTATATTTAAAACAATTAGTCCCTTTTATAAATTTTGATAGAACAGTGAGAAGACGTAATTGATCTGAAAAATGTGATGTATTTGCGCTATACATTTCGAACAATCTGGTCACACATATTTACTTGTCAAGGCATTTTATATGAAGATGAATAAAAGGTCAATTAAATAAAAGTTCAAATAGACATAGGGTGATAATTGTAAATAAAGGAGAGAGAAAATTAACGTAATATGAAAAGAATAAGAAGGGGTAGGAAAATTGTCACATTACCCTAGGCTTAAAGATTACCAAGGTAAATTCAAGGTTATGACAAATTGTTTCTGCACACATAAAGGGGGTTTTAATTTTCTAATAGCCAAGGCCTCCATAAACCTCAAAATTCGTCCTTCAACATTTCTATACAATGTTTTGAAGGCTGTCTTGATGTCAATCTTATGCCCTGTCTCAATTATGTGTTTGGCGATCGATGAACATGGTTTTCTATTTCCAACGTTAATCGGCTCATCTGACGTTAACTGATTTTGAAGCCACTTAGGTACATGTTCCACAACCCTTGATTGCAAAGTCCGATTACTCCTCCCTATGTATGTGTGTCCACACAAACATGTAAATTGATAAATACAATGGGATGTGATGTAATCATTAGAGCAACGTTTAGGTATATGAGAAATCATGGACTTGGTCTTTTCAATGATAATCAGTTTAGCAGCGTTGTATGTTTTCTCTATGGCTGCTTTTAGTCTCTGTCTTATTATTAGACCATTTGCTTCACCTCTAAATGGTAAAGTGATATAAACCTTTTTCTTTTCAGCAGAATCAAACACTTGCTTTTGTCTTAACTGCTCTCTACACCTATTGATAAACTTTAGCGGATAGCCATTTGAAATCAATGCTTCAGTTAAGAATTTCGCATCGTCGTCAAATGTATCCGTGGTGCAAATCCTTTGTGCCCTATTGAAGAGGCATTTTACTAAACCTCGCTTGTGTTGCAGTGGACAAAAACTGTTGAAATTTAGGTACTGTCCAGTCCACGTCGGCTTTCTATAAACAGACCGCTTTATAGTTCCATTATCTCTTCGGCTCAACAATATGTCTAAGAAAGGCAACCGATTATTATTTTCTGGTTCATGAGTTAGTACAATATCATTCTGAAGACTATTGAAGTTTTCCAATAACTGGGAGACGTTAAGTTCTTTATCACATATAATTAAAATATCATCCATATATCTCCTATAGAGAGTAAGCTTATTAATGTGCTCATTCCACAAATTTTCAGCATATGCCATGTAAACATCGGCTAAGAGAGGTCCCAAAGGACTACCCATAGCAACGCCATCAATTTGCTGGAAATGTTCATCATCAAACGTGAAATGAACTTTTCCAGTACATAATAAAATTAATTCTCTTAGTAGACTTGACTGAATGGGAAAAAGGGGGAAATTACTTAATATATAGTCACAAAGAAAGTTTACAGTTTTCATTAGGGGAACATTGGTAAAGAGAGAGTTTACATCAAAAGAATGCATTGTCTTTTCTTTAATATTAATGTTATCAAGAACACCTATTAGTTCAAATGTATCTTTCAGGGAAAACTTACACAATTTATTACGAATTGGGCTAAGTAATTTAGCTAACCATTTGGCTAGCTTATGCGTAGGTGAGCCACACATAGACAATATCGGTCTCAGTGGAGTGTTCGGTTTATGAATTTTGGGTAATCCATATAAGTTCGGTAGTACAGATCCGGTGGGTTTGTGGAACATGTACCTAAGTGGCTTCAAAATCAGTTAACGTCAGATGAGCCGATTAACGTTGGAAATAGAAAACCATGTTCATCGATCGCCAAACACATAATTGAGACAGGGCATAAGATTGACATCAAGACAGCCTTCAAAACATTGTATAGAAATGTTGAAGGACGAATTTTGAGGTTTATGGAGGCCTTGGCTAAAGTATATTTGTTTGTTAAGTTTAGGGTGAAACTGTGACTATTACTGAATAGATTGCTCACTTTTAGCTAATAAGAAACGAATTGTCTATAAACAATAGGGCATGTTTTTTCGCAGTATAACTATGAATTAGTACTCGAAGATGGCTGGGTGTATACAACAAACCATTCGAAGTATTTCGAACTATTAAATTAGTCAGCATTGATCTAAATTTGAATTCTCTTAATATAACGTTTGCTTTTGATACTTCTGTTGTTGTTGTTGTTTTTTTTTTCAGGGTTGTTTAGAACAAATGATAAAACTTACAGGATGGTCTTCAGCTAGTATATTATATTTTGGCGACCACGTATATGCTGATCTTGCGGTAAGCATTGTTTAAGTATATATATGTATATTCTACACAGATGTGTTTTAGCTCTTATTATTATGGTATAAAGTTCTATGAAATGACCAAATTATTAGTGTTTACTATAGACTAAACAATTATGAACTAATTCATCACTTCTGCATATCATCATAAATAATATGTTATGTGATAATTTATTATATGACCCCAATTATGTGAAATTAATTTAATTAAAATCTTATGACATGTTTACAAATTAGAAGGTAGCAAATTATTGAATTATATTTGTTAACCTATTTTGGTGTGTCTACCATTCTAAATACTGCATAATAATCCGATCATGACACTTTTCTTGAATGTTTGATGACGTTATCATACCAGTTTATTTACGTATTACGTTTCTATGCCGACGCTGCCCTTTCAAATGATGTCATTTTTACTTCTGTATCTGTTTCATATTGCTAACGTTTTGAATATAAAATCTGAAGTAGTGTACAAGTCTCGTATATTTTTTCTTCTTATCTAATAATTATTATTAACATCATCATATCTGTAAGGTGACGTGTATTATGTTACCTGTTTCAGAATAAACGTGTCTTCATTTCTCAATGTTCATTCTCTTTTGATGTCTACATTTATCTTTTTGTGCGTTTATATAAATTTTGTATAAACTATATGAATAAGTGAAGAATTATTTTCTCCAGTCAAGTCAGTTGATTTGTTGATTTTGAAAATTGTATTCACACATTAGATTATCAGTTAACTATTAGTTCAATTGATTTATCGAACACTTCAAATGATGCATAATTGATTATTATTCTGATGATCGATGAATTTACTGGTTGGTATACAAATCAGTCTACTTATTCAATCTTGTTTTCTTCCTTGCATTAACAAAATAGTTTTATTCCGTTGCAATAAGTAGCAGGGAAAGTATTTCGTAGTCATAGCAAACAGCTTCATCAATAGTATATATAAGTATTTAGCTGAAGTCACTACGGTTTTAACAAATCAGTCTATTTCAAAACCGTTGTCATCAAAATGGTTTTGAAACTACCACTGTATTCATAAATGTGAATGCCAATAGATATCTTTCTCTACTTACTGTAATAACCAATTTATTATTAAAAAATTATTTTAGTATTATGTTATTACCTACAGTTCAAGTTGTTTCTTACAGTAGTTCATAAAACTATCTCATTCATTCGAGTCTGTATCACATCATAGCTCATCCATTAATGATGAGTGAAAACAAATATATTGATAAACATTGTTTTACTTTTTCTAAACTTTTTTCACCTTTCATATCCAGGATACACTATCGTAACGTAATATTCGCTTCTTCGTGGTCTTTAGTATTCAGTGCTCTTACTCATTACATCAAATCATTTATAATAGCTCTTAGATATTAGGGGTTTGAAGTTTTACCTTTTATACCATAGAAACTTATAACTGAAGTGCGGAGGATATAGATCGGGATTGAATTAACTCTGGATAGCCTCATTCTTCGCATTTTTTTACCCATTGTCATATTCATATTCCACAGTGAGGTATCTAATCTACAGAATTTTAGACATCTGCTCTGGAAATACGCGTATATTAATCGTCGAATTGCTAACTTAAGTTACTGACAAACTGTTCACAGTCAGTGCAAAAATTTAAAATCCTTATCCGTTTTATCCCGTAAAAAAGGTGTACACTGCTTTATCATGCTAAAGGGAGTTCAATTGGATAATTTTGCGACAAGTAATGTACTTAGCCATCGTGGTAATATATCATTCTACTTGGACTTTAATGTTAAGTATATGATTATTTCACATCGCATTTGTCACTTAACGTATGTGTATGGTCTATGAACAGTAGAGTAGCCTAGCTTCATAGTTGGAGTTGGAGAAATATATGCGGTGGTATAGAGGTAAGCTTACTGTTGCAACTTCAGATAAGTGTTGCGTATACTCCATTTCTAGAGATTATAGCCATTAGAGAATTCAATCTTCTTTTATGTTTTAAAACAATGGTCTGTTCTCTCTTTGAATTTTCCTCGATAATCCTTAATCTATATTTAGTTATAAGTTTGGTATAAATATTCGACTTTGTAGTTGATGTTCTCATCTATCACTGGTGATTGATTTGACTTTTCCTTATTTTTGTGTAAATTCCATTGAAAGGAAATCTGTGATTATAATTGATTTAAAAGGTATCGCACAATTACTTCAGACCATCTTTCTCTTCGCCGTATTCTACATTTTTTCCATGGAAGTGAAGTTAATAATAACATAATTTCCAGTGACAAGCCATTAACTAATTTCAGCTTAATATCAGACAAAGTCATAGTGTAAATGCTGTTATTCATGTATCTTTTCTTAGTGTTTAAATATGCACTTGAATGTTCCGAACTGAAATCTTAAAGATGACAATTCAGTAGTAAAAATAAAGTCGAATTTCCTTTTCTGACACAACCAATGTATTATGTAGAAGTATACTGGGAATTAAATCAGTTATTTATATTTTTTGTTAGGATGTGGCTAGTACCTACGGTTGGATGACTGGAGCTGTTATACCGGAACTGGAATGTGAACTTATTGCTGCAAATAATCATGATTTCAAAATTAATTTGAAACGTTTAAGAATGCTTGAAAAGTTGATTCAGGAAAATCAAGTAAATAATTCAATATAATTTCTCTCTCTCTATGTATATATATATTTATGATGCGAGAACCATACATACATAGACAGTATTAACTAAATTTTTATTGACAATTATAAATTTCATCAACGTCTTATCGGAAGACAGCTTTAGTCTATTTTAACACGAAGTATTAATTTTTTGTGTATATACAATATAGGTCAAGCTTTTCTGAACTTCTATTTTATTTGTCCAACGAAAATAAAAACAAAACTAAGGCGTGTAATAATATCTATCACCTATTTATAACAAAGCATTGTATATTGCCATTGTTATTATGAATAAAATTTTGTTATCTTTTAGCACTTGGTGGATTTGATTTTGTTAACTAGTACGCTGAGTAGTTGTGAATTTGGACATTTGAATTGTCGATTGATTATGGCTTAGAATTGAAAGTGATGTTCCACTACCTCTCTATCCATATATTATTGTGTCTAAATTCGAAGTGCGTTAAGTTATTCCACTAGAAATACACTTATTCAATCTCCTTTTCCAACAGAGGTCCTTAAATATCAGGTTTCACAGTTATCTCAGGTTTTAATAATATAATATGCATGGAAATTATTCTAAAACTCAAACAGTAATCATACGGACATTAAATGGCATTCGGAAAGCACTCTCGATCTTTTCAGACAATAATAGTTTTCCCGATTTTCAAGAATTCTTAAAGTCTTCACGGTTATCACTAATGTGGTTAACTTATTTGAAACGAGTTGATTTATTCTCCCCACCTTATATAGTGACTTTTCACTATTAGTTGCCATGGCTAAATAATTGAACAGATTGCTTAGACTTTTGAAACATTGCATTACCAATCTATAGTCGAATATGATGCGTATAGAGTCACCTTAGAAAAACATTAACGGTCTTGTTGAACATCATGTCTTAATGGGATAAAGCTGACATCAGGTTAACTTCCAAAAAGTGAATACTTCTCTGCTTTGGCAAATAAACACATTTCAAACGTATGATAAACAACATTAATTTGTGCTTTAACGTAAGTGTTAATAAGTAAAAGTTAAAATATTATTCTAAATCTTGTTTATTCATCTTGATGTAAGTTTAATTTAAACAATAATGTGTTTATAATTAATTTTAAAATCATTATAGTTATATATTGTTTTTCCTTTTCAGCATGTTCACTCAGCTGAAGCAAAATTACTACTTGAAAAATGGCTTGATGAAAGAAATGCTTTAAGACGTGCTAGTAAATGTGTATTTGATCCACAATTTGGAAGTATTTTTCGTTCTTTTCACAATCCGTCTTATTTTTCACAACGTCTTGGACAATATGCAACATTGTATACGTCAAGAGTTACAAATCTGTTACATTTTCCGTTAGATCATGCATTTTTCCCTAAAAGGACAGCTTTACCACATGAACTATATTAGTGCTAACCTCCTTTTTGTCATAGTGTATTGTATATAGAAATGATTTCTTTATACTCTTACTACTAATAATTTCGTTCCTTAATTAATAGTTTTGTTTACAATGATCTTACGTATTTTTTCTTCATAATGTCTTATTACTTGTGTTTCTATATAAAACAGTTTGATTATTTTACTGTTTCTCTCTGACTTTCGCTATAAAGATCATTTAGTCGTAAACAAGGTTCAATCTCACACTACTTATCAACGTTCGTATGCGTAGATATTACATTAGTTGGTTGCACAGAAAGAGCATGTCTTATTGCTTATTGTAGACAATCGTAATGTTTGCAACAAGAGTGAAATCAAGATCATTGAACTCCATTAGTGCGCTTATCATTTTAATACTGTGGTTGATTTTTATAAACACTTTTACCCTTAATCTCTCATCCATCTTAATTGGTCATCAAAACCAACCACTTTTTCATGGCTCAAAACAATAAACTTGATTAGGTGATCATGCCGATTCTATTTTGATAATTGTAGGTTGTGGTTAAATTTTCCATTCCAACGAGCACTCCATTTCCAATGCACCAAAAAAAGTTAAAATGTTCTCATCAACAGTCATTCCCTAAGCTGACGACTAATCACTCAGAGCCCTCATATATGGTTTGCACGAGTTGAAGTATCGCTTTTGGCGCGTAATATTCAACAGAAACCTCGACGTTACACAAATTTAGTTTCTGGGTTGTCGATCAGTTTCGTAAGATGAATGGCAATCCCAAACGTTTTGTACATTCTACTAGGTAGACTTCTTGGAAGTTTTGTATCTCGCACCAAATTTTTCATGCGCACGATGTATATTACTTTTCTGAATTTATCAATTTTATCTTATTAAAGCAAAAATTAATAACTATTCATTATGTTATTCTATTCTTATTAATTAATGTCAAATTTTTTACCGGCTTTCACATTATCAAAACCTTCTAAAACAAAAATATATTCTTAAGATCAACTTTTATATTATTGCGCCCACGCTAAATATAATTTGTTCACAAGAGATGCTTATGTTATACCACATTTCTATGTTTGGTACTTTCATCAGCTGACAAAACTAATTAGTAGTTACACTTTGTTTCGTTCGTGGCAGATTACAAGTGCATACATGTCGTGCAACCAACTGGCGACATTTTATCTGTGGACAATACCTGATAACTTGCTTTCATCAGGGTTTTATATAGAAGGATTCGGAAAGCTTAATAACCAAATCAACCAACCAAAAGATCCTGAGAGATGTCCGTGTGTACTCGACATGTATACAATGTTTGATATTTGGGTGAAGACTAGATCAAGACAAGAATTTCGCTGAATAAAAAGAATTCATCTGAGTAACGAATATCATCTTGAATAGAACAAACTGTGCAACCAAAACGTTTCATAGACCAAACTTATAATTGATTTATCCAGTTACTTAATACGATAAGTATACAATCTGCAGTAATACTAGCATTCGAACGATTACAATAATCATGTCCACTAAGATAATGAGAATAAATACAAGTTGTAAGTAAAGCTGTGCCCAGACTAGTAATCGGGACAACTAGACAAGTCGATGTAAACAAACACAAATCCATGAACTAATTAGGTAGAGAAGTTCAGTATTAGTCGACTCAACAAAGTTTACATACGCATATCTATGACTTGCAGACTAATAGCAACATACTAATAAGTAAACATTCATAGGTAAGATTTATTACAGCTACTATTGAATATTATAAACGGATAATGTGCAAAGTATTATTACGGAAACAACTCTCGTCTTTACTCTGTTTTTCATATTATTTCTTTTTGGTAGAAGCACATTTATTGTAAATGACAATATACTGTTACTGACATTGGCTATAAGTGCAGGAAAAACTGTCAATTCTTAACACGAAGAAAAAAATCCGTACGGCTGGATGCAGAGAAGAAAGTAGAACTGCAGATAGGAATCTGTCATACATCATAAATAGATCAGCAACACATTTAACCACTGATCGAAACTATATCTAAATACATCGATTTTTATGATAGACTTAGTAGATGGTCAATAGACAAACTCGGATACATTGAACTGAGCACAGATCAACAAATAACTGGATGTATTTAAGCAATTCACGACACCAAATATATCAACTTTTTTAGTTAACAATTAAAACTACTGACTTATAAATTTGCTCCTTTTCAACATCTCTCTTTTGATCGGATATACTTGAGTGAGATTTCCTGTTGTAGAGACCAACCTGAAAATTAGTTATCCTAACGAATTATTTTCCCGTTTCAAAATAATGGTCATGAATCATGTTCATTCAAGCATCTAAGATTTTTAGATGTCACGTTGACAGAATGAATAAATTGACAAGAAACTGAAATGCGTAGATAAGAGATATCAGTCTTTACACCATATTGGCTTTCGTATTTTCATTATTAATACTTGACATGAATGCACTTTCTATATAAAATTATTTCTAGAATGCGATAAAACCCCTAAATACTAATTTCTTAATAAATTATGATTATAACTTTCCTGGTACTTGAAGTTGACAGAAGACACAAATTAATCACTATTCTATACAGACATCATAACTTTACTCATCCTCCACCAACTTAACAGAAACAGAAGACAAGTTTACAATTTTCTGTCTCATTCTCAGAAAATATTGATAATTGTTACTCTATATCTAATAAAAGACGCATACGAAATCCAGAAGCAGCAGATAACTGTATGCTACCTATAAATATATTGCAGTTGAAATGAATTTGACCTAAGAAGGTAAAGTCTTATCATTTGGATTTAGTATTCATTTTATTTCAATACATATAATAATTACAACTAAATTCATTGGATAGGTTTTGCAAAGACATTGAATGCTCTAGAAAAACAGAATCAAGAGATATTATTGATACGATGAAGCACTTGACTTTGAATTTCCGAACCAGAGGTGTTCAGCTGAGTTAATCTTCACTAAACCTTCGTTTATGCTATGCTTAGTCAGTGAGTTATATGCAGCGTAGAGCCTGGCACATGTGCCACAGTAATAATTAATCTAGCGCATTCAAATGCTCAATTATATAAAAATGCCTTAACGTTAAGTAAATGATACTTCTCGTATATTGTAGATGTCGTAGCATAAAAAATTCACTTAGGAATACATAATAATGCACTGGCGTTTCTATATACAAAGTTAGATCACTACTCAAACTATAAACAATCTCATAATTTACTGATTTAATCCTCTCCTGTTTGGTCGGAATTATTCAAACTTAATCTCACATCTCTTTTACCCATCTTTTAACGAATCATTAGTTTCACGTTAAATACATATGTTAGTTAACATAATTTAATCAAAATTTTAAACTTTACGACGGCAGTGAATTATATTATTCAAATTTTACAGCTTCGTCTGGGTCATCGATTCAAATTGTGTGGGTGTTATTAGACTAACCTTACATTGTGAGTCTAATTAACTAAATTACTCTTATAGTTTACACTGACATTCCATTAGCTTTTATCTGTAAAAATGTTAATTACTTCTCACAGATTGTTTCATCATAAAGTTTGTGTACTATCCACGCAATTAATTTTCAACAGTCCAGTGATTAGTGACTTTATTCATTGAACAGAAACCAACGAAGCTATTTACTTTGACAGTCAGTGATCGAAATAGAGAACAGCTCCCGATTCTCATATTTATGTACTTTAGAGTAAAAAATACCGTCGAATTGTAAACTGTACTACGAAACAGATATTTAAACGCTTCCAAAATGGAATCCGAAATCGCCATCAGCTACAAATAGCCTATAGAGAACTCTGCGGAACATTTCGAGAAATTTATGTTCATTTCCAACTTAAGTGGTTAGTTAATATTATTCATCCATTCCACATTTTCGGTGACCTTCCACGGTGTGGGCAGCCGGGAAGTGATAACCGCCCTCATACCTGCAACACCACACGAGACCAAATTGGTCAAAATCAAATCCTTCCTACACCCACACATACCTCTCTTATCTCCACGACTAACTCTTCTCACATTCATTTATCACAGTGCACAGCTAATGCAAACGATGCGAGTTCACGAAACGTCGTTCCTGGTCTCTTGAAACCCCGTTCTAAACTACATTTTGGAGCATTTAGTGTACGGACATTGTGTCAAATAGGGCAACAGGCTCCATTAGCTAGGACTTTAGAATCTCGTGCCATCGATGTATGCTGCGTCTCGGAAACGCGCATACAGGATCCTAGTAAAATTATTAATCTGATTTCACCTTGTCAATTTACTCTTCGTGTATCTGGAAGCCCTGATGCTTCTTCCCGGGGTCTTGCTGGCGTAGGCATAGCATTGAGTCGTAGAGCTGAACAATGTCTCCTAGAGTGGATCCCTGTAGATAGTCGTTTGTGCGCTGTCCGACTAAACGGGAAGGTAAGGACTCGGAAAGATAGGGACACACGCCGTTGCCTCTTCATCGTATCTGCCTATGCCCCCACTGACTGCAGTTCAGACGATGTGAAAGATGAGTTTTACAGAAAGTTTTCAGACTCCCTCCAAAAAGCTAGGGGCTCTGATGTAGTACTAATGGCTGGTGACTTCAATGCTCAAGTAGGTAGACTGAGTGAAAATGAAAGACACCTAGGTGGATGTTATGGCGTCACGGCTCACAGAACAGACAATGGCGACCGTCTGTTGCAAGTATTCTCAGATAACCGCCTATTCTTAGCAAACACTAACTTCAGGCATAAGGAAAAGCATCTGTTGACCTGGCGACCTCCAAAGTCGTCTCAACGTTGGACTCAACTAGATCACATCGCCATCAGCCACCGATGGAGGGGTTCGATAGAGGACTGCCGCTCGTTCTGAAGCACATGTCTAGACTCAGATCATGCCCTAGTACGAGCTCGTATTTGTTTGAGGGTTACTAGGCGTAGGAAAGACACCGTAAGGAAGCCTCTTAGGGTTTTACTTAATGATAATCAAACTAAGAAAATATTTCAGGAGCAACTAGAAACAGAGTTAAGCAACCATGTAGGAGATTCTCATCCAGAAGCAGGTTGGTTTGATATCAAAATGGCTGTGGAAACAGCAGTGATATCTGCTAGTAAAGTAGAGCATAAGGCTAGAATGAAGCCGTGGATCTCTGTAGCAGCCACCGATCTGATGGATGCCCAAAAACTCATCCGACCTGACTCTGAACATGATGAAGAGCGAAGGCTGCTTAAGCACAGGCTGATAAAAAGCCTGCGCAACGACCGTGAACAGTGATGGGTGGCGAAAGCGATGGAAAAGGCAGTGGCGATAGGCAACACTAAACAACTTTTCCGCCTTATTAAAGAAACCGGTATTAGGAACCAAAATGTGAGTGAGACTATCTCGGAAAAGGATGGTCTTATTATCCATTCTCAATCCAGGAGACTGGATCGATGGGCAGAACACTTTAGGGATCATTTCAACTGGCCTCGAGCCACGCTTCGGTTGCCCACGATCTCCAGTCATCCTGAATAGCAAATCGACGTAAGTCCCCCTAGTCTTTTTGAAGTTGAGAAAGCGTTAGGAAATCTGAAGCGAGGGCGAGCTGCAGGTCGTGACAGACTGACCCCTGAGATGTTTAAGGATGGTGGTCCAGTTTTAGCAGCTAGGTTGACCGAGATGTTAGGTAGAATCTTGGAAATGGACACAATCCCATCCGACTGGTCTCAATCACTGATTGTCCCAATCTATAAGAAAGGACAGAAGTCTTCTTGTGACAATCACAGGGGAATAAGTCTAACTAATATAGTATCTAAAATATTGGCCTCAATAATGCTTCGGCGCCTAACGAAAGCTCGTGAAGAGCGGACTAGAGAAAACCAGTCTGGTTTTCGACCTGGACGTGGTTGTATAGACCACATCTTCACACTACGACAGGTCCTGGAACACAGACACACATTTAGGCGTTCGACAACAGTTGTCTTCCTGGATCATAAGGTGGCATTCGACTCAGTGGACCGTGAGGTTCTGTGGCAGTGTGTCATTGAAAGGTGTACTAGAGAAATACAATAACCTTATACAAGCTCTCTACTCGAACACCACTGGTCGGGTGAGAGCTTATGGCGAACTGTCACCGGAATTCTTCACTTCAAGTGGTGGCCGTCAGGGATGTCCACTTTCTCCATTCTTGTTCAATTTCGTCATAGACACGCCCCTAGATATAACATCATCCTCGTCTGAATTTTCAGGAGTAGACCTTTTACCTGCTGGCTCGCAAACCTGCGTCACTTATGGCGTAGGCGAGATATCCGTTTGCTGACTAAAGGACGAGTGTACTGTGCAGTAGTTCGCCCCGTCTTACTTTATGGCTGTGAAACATGGCCAGTGAGAGTAGAAGATATTCGTAGGTTACTGGTTTTCGATCATAGGTGTCTTCGAAGCATTGCTCGTATATCGTGGGACACCCGAGTGAGCAACGCTGTTATTAGGAAACGGGTGCTAGGTAAGAATGGCAGATCAATAGATGAAGTGCTGAAACTCCATCAGTTGAGGTGGATGGGACATGTGCTGCGTATGCCTAATCACCGACTGCCTCGAAGAGCTTTGTTTTGTAGCGTAGGAGTAGGTTGGAAGAAAGTTAGGGGCGGCCAAACAAAAACATGGCCATGTTGGTAATTGTCGACTACCTGGTTGGGGTCCGTGAGATGATAATAATCGATGGGTAAAGACCTTGAATGACATGGCTCAAAATCGTTCGCAATGGTGCCGGTGCATTTATTCTCTGTGTTCTTTCAAATCCCTATCTTCTGGATTCGTCAACCCCTCTACTTTTGACTTTCTAAACTTTTCTCACTGAATCGTACTTCTTGAATAATATCTTCTAATCCTAACCTCCCCAATTACTTCCAATACCCTTACTACCTCTTCTTCTATTGGATTTGAATTGACAATTACATCTCTGTGCTGATGTGGTATGGCGACATGAACTGATGTACTTACGTACGAAGTTCTACGTTGCATCTGACTGACTGACTGACATTTTCGGTGAGTGAGACAAGTTTTATAAGTGAGAATACGCGAATTGTGAGTTTTTGTCAAGAGATGTTATGACGAAGGACACACCAAGAAAACGGACTTCATCAATCTATGTTATAGCATTGTTAGTAAAAAGTAACTAAGGTACGTTTAATATGAGTTGATATTTATATCTGTAAACGTATTGTTAAAGCTTTAAGCAGATTCAGAATACGTATGCTACTGAACGGCTGCGAAGACAGTCTTTTATAGCTGTCTATCCAAAATCGTAAATATCCGTCAACAATTGTCTTACGAGTGTTTCTTTGAAAGGCTAACTTATGTATGGCTTTGATTCAATCGAGCTTTGTATTTGTATGTACACGACCGATGCGTTCATAAATTTTCTCGTTTAATGTATAGGCTGGATGGTATGCGATCCGTCCACTTTCTGTTATGTATCTTAATTGGGGATTAGGGTGTGTGCCTTCCACACTTCCGACTGATGTATATCTGTAGTACAAAAAAATACATTGTTTATTTAAAAAGTAGAAACAAATTAATAAGACATGATAAGACCGAGGCTGAAATAGAAATATTAAGAAAAGGGGACAATGGTAGCTGTCAAAAACCTAGAGATGGTAATCACTTTACGTAGCGAACTGAATTCAATAGAAAAATGTGACTCGCTAGACCCGATCCTAGTGACTGTACAGTATCATGCTCAAGTAGCGATCACAGATATGATCTATTAGGTTATAGGCTAGCACATTATATCATGAAATCGTGTATCACTACAATTAGGACCTGAATATACATTCCGTTACGATGCATTGGATTTCAGAAATAGCAATGCTAGATAAATGCCTAAACTTTGATAAGTAAAGAGAAGTTGGAACCTGTCTAGAAGAAACAAATTCTTGGGCAACTAAGCCATGTTCCCCTAGTATTTATAATAACTAGGCTTGTATCAATCACAATAAATTATCTACAATTATTGTCTAAAGAAAATGTTACGCTAGCTTCATCATGTGAGTAGATGACAATCCTTGAATCTACATTGTTTCAGAACTTTAGTAATCCATTCATACAATCTTAAATTTATGATTATTAAGTAATTACAAACAGTTCTTTGAGAGTCGAATCAAAAGACTGAAAATCCATATACATGATTCATCGAATCATTAACGAATGAAGTTATCTTTATGAAACGAAATCATAGCACAAATATTTCTAAATAATAATGGGCTACACTCAATAATTTATCAAAATGGCATCTACTCAGTAAAAGGGTCTAAGAACATTTTCCAATCTCAAAAGGCGTTCACTTCAAAATGACTTTAGGTTGACGACTGCTGGAAACCAAGAAGCACTGCACAGTTATTTATCCTATTACAGGACTTCAAAGCAGTATTCACTGATCATCGCACTAGAAATAGAACTAGAACCTTCGAGTGCGAATGACGGTAGGAGAATACTGGGAACTCACTGGAGTTGAACATGTGAACCATTGGCTTCCAACTCAGTGATCGAAAGTTAGCCCAAAGGACAGAGAGAGTGGTTCTTGGTAGGGTCATGTCAGTAATGAACACTGTTAGATATATTAAAATAAATCTTCACGGTAAAGCTTATTTTAAAAAAAAGACTACTGCAGTTAGATGATAATACGTACGTGTTTATACGTTGATTCGGATGGGAACACTAGGTGATAAGGCAATAATAGCGCAAGAACAAAAATCAAATGTATTCCCAACGTTGAAACGAGGCCATATAATTTCCAGACGACTTTACGGAATGAGACTCAACAGCTAGTTAAAAGATCTGCTCACCAAAGCAGCCACAGCAACTATAACTTAGCACGTTCTCTAACATCCAATACTTTTCCACGGTTAGATGACAGAATGACCTAGAGACAGCAAATCATATAACAGAGATATCACACTCCATACTAATTGGCTGGATGATAGTTTATATAATAAGCCGCTTACTTTAAAATTGTCAATCTTTGAAATGGATGATCTGCCGGAGGGTTATGTTTTCGGGATGGGAAACCCTCTCCTAGATATGATTGTAGATGCTGACGACTATTTGTATGAGAGATATAATCTGGAAAAGGATAATATCGTACTGGCTGGAGAGAATCATATGCCCATTTATAAAGATATCGAGAAAAAAAGCAACATAAACCGTATCGCAGGAGGAGCCACTTTGAACACAGTTAAAATGATTCAGTGGATACTTCAGAAACCATTTGTTTGCTCATTTGTCGGATGCGTAGGTTCTGACTCAGAAGGGGATTACATTAAGAAGGATTGTTCGCTGTTGAATTTAAACGCGAAATTCCAGTCCAAAGAGGGCATTCCGAACACCGGAAAAGTAGCAGTCCTTGTCAGAGATAAACTACGTAGCATGGTCACCTACCTGGGAGCAGCGTCTTATCTTTCCTTGGATTACATTGAAAGTCCGGAAATTTGGAGTCTTGTTGAAAAAGCACAAGCGTATTATATTGCAGTAAGTCAAAATCGTGTTATATAGTTATTTTCAAGGGCTTCGTAATAAATACCTGTTATGAAGGTATGCATAAAATAGCCACACATTCTCTGGAAAGTGGAAAGTTATTTTGTTTCAATCTTAGTGCTCCTTTCCTTCCTCAATACAATACTCAGCAATTAAATGAAATCGTATCACATTCTAACGTAATCTTTGGAAATGAAGCCGAAGCCAAAGCATATGGAGTGGCTAATGGTCTTCAGGATAGAACTGTTCATGGAGTAGCACGTTTCCTAGCTGATTTACCATTCGCTGATGGAAAACAGCGTAAACGACTGGTTATAATAACTCGAGGAAAAGACCCCTTAGTATATACGAACTCTTTTGAATCGGATATCCACCAATTTATGGTAGAGCATGTTAAAGACCATGAAATAGTCGATACGAATGGAGCTGGAGATGCATTTGCTGCTGGATTTATTGCGGATTACATACGTAATAAGCCATTGATCACGTCACTGCAATCTGCTGTGAGAGCCGCCACCTATATTATATGCAGATCTGGATTCTCCTTAGGTCCCAGAGAAAATTATTTTTTAAAATTAAATAAATAGATTACAACTGAACTCGCTTTGTTTCTATTGAATTGAGTAATCATGTACGTAATGGTAAACTAATGATACATTTTAACACTGGTATCAAAACCTTTCCCTCAACACTTGTATCAGCCAGTTACAACTTTGAACCTCGTACATACGTCAGTCCGTTCAAGTTACCGTACCGGATTAGCACAAAGACGCAATTGTCAATTCGAATCTCAGTAGTAGAGGTAGTCGAATTCTTAGCAGTAATCGAATCGATTAGTTTTCGAAGATATTCAAGTATGATTCATTGAAATAAATTTAGAAAGATAGAGGTTATGAGGAGTTCAGACGATTAAAATTTGAGGAAAGACAGAGTGGATGCACGTGGGGTTTTGCTAACGATTTTACGCCATATCATTCAAGGTCTGTAACAATCGGTTACTATTATCTTGCGGGTCCAACCAGGTTGTCTGCACCTACCAACGTCGTTCACTCCACTCGCCAGTGACTTCATGGGTTTTCTGTCAAGTTTTGGTTTGGCCGCCCCTATCTTTCTTCCGGCCTAAAATCCCTTTTTGACCGAATCCGAACAAACTCACCTACTTCAACTCAAAACATAGCTAGTCGAGGCAGTTGGTGGATGGACCTAAGTAACACGTGTCCCAACCACCTCAACTGAAGAAGTTTCAATACTTCATCTGTTGATTTGCCATACCTAACTACTACTCGTTTCCTGACGATGGCATTGCTTACTCAGTAGTCCCAAGATATACGAGCGATGCTTCAAAGACATCTGTAATAGGATACGAAAGAACTACGAATGTCCCTCATACCAGTAACCGCACACAAAACCCAATCGGTCATAATAAAATCCTCCCTACACCCCCTAACATGTTTCATCCGAGTGACGTCATGCATTTCACCTCAGCATGTCAAAATAAAGAAGCAGCTCGATTCACGCTTCGTGTGTCTGGAGGCTCTTCTGCTTCCTGTGACCTCGCTGGTGTAAGTGTAGCATTAGGTCGCAGGACAGAACTAGTTCTCTTAGACTGGATCCCAGTAGATATTCGCTTATGCGCTGTCCGACTAAACGGGACAGTAAGGACTCGAGAGGATAAGGGGACTCTTCGTTGCCTATTTGTTGTGTCGGCGTACGCTCCCACTGACTGCAGTTCAGACAAGGTGGTAGATGAGTTTTAAAGGAAGCTTTCGGACCTCCTCCAAAAAGTTAAGCGCTCTGATAAAGTAATAGCAGCTGGTGACTTTAATGATCAAGTAGGTAGACTAAGTGAAAAGGAAAGACACCTTGGTGGATCTTATGGAGTCGTGACTCAAAGATCAAAAACTGGCGACCGTGTGCTGCAGCTATGCTTAGATAACCACGGTGAAAGATAAACTATACGATTAGGAGGAGCCTTGGATGTCAATAGCATTTTTCGAACTGATAGGTGCTAGGAAGCTCATTCTGTCACACTTCTGTTGACCACGATCTTCAGTCATCGTGAGTGATAAGTTGATGTAATCCCTCCTACTCTTGAAGAATTTGAATAGGCCGTAGGAAAACTAAAACGAGGGCAAGCCGCAGGGTCTTACAGGCTTACTGCTGAGATTTGTATGATGGTAGTCCTCTTTTTACATTTAGATTGACTGAGATCTTAAGTAGAATCTGGGAAATGGGTGTAATCTTATCTGACTGATCCCAATCACTGATAGTCTCGGAATCATTATATATACTACAAGCATTAGTAGCAGAGTTGGCTATCAGTCGGGTCTTGGATGTGCGTCTCGTCCAGCTTTGAACTCTGACTGAATGCCCCTGTGTCTCAACTTTATTGTTTCTTCGGGGTTAGCACACTGCTGAGGCCAGAAAGTCACTAGCTAATTTACCGGGGTCAGTCAGTTACAAGGTTGAACTTCGTACGCAAGTATATCAGTTGAAGTTGCCATACCACATTAGCACAGAGACGCAATCGTCAGTTGAAATCGCATAGTGGTACAGATTGTAGAATTGTTAACAGTAATGGAGAAGATTATGGTTCGAAAATATCATTCAAGAAATATACTTCAAGCATCAAAGGAGAAATATAGAGGTGATGACGAATTCAGAAGATTGGGTTTTCATAGAACACAACGAGTGGATGCACCTGCGCCGTTGTAAACGGTTTTAACCCATGTCGTTTAAGGTCTCCAACCATCGGTTACTATGGTCTTGCTGACTCCCAACCAGGTAGTCTGCATCTACCAACAAGGCCCTAGTCCACTTGTCAGTGAACTCATGGATTTTTACCATGTTTTAGTTTGGCGCCCGTAGCTGTCTTCCAACCTATTCCTACATCGGAAAACATGGTTCGACAAGGCAGTTGAACTTCTTTATATATTTATCTGCCTTCCCTAACTAGTACCCGTCCCCCAACAACTGCATTGCTTGATCTATAGTCCCAAGATAAACGAGCAATGCTTCGGAGACACCTATGATAGAGAACCAGCAACCTACGAATATCCTCTACTCTTATTGGCGATGTTTCACAGCCATAAAGTAGAACGGATCGAACTAATGCGCAGTAGATTCGACCTTTGGTTAGCGACATTGGTGACGCAAGTTGGCAAAAGCCGATCGAGCCTATTGTGCCCATGCTGAGATTTCAACAGTCACCAGGCCATCGACACTGATGAGACTCCCGAGATAAGTGAAGTGGTCGACACGCTCGACTTCTTCACTACCTAAAGTTAGTTCAGGTGCCGATGCAAGTCAATCCTGAAGTAGCATTTTACATTTCGAGGTTGGGAACCGCATCCCGAACATGCTTGCATTATCGCTCAGGGTAGTCAGAAGACTATGTCATCGGCATATTCTAAGTCAATAAGCGAACCTCCTGGTAGAAGATCTACTTCTGAAAAGTCTGATGAGGATAATCTTAACTCCAAAAACATATCTACTACAAAGTTAGACAAGAATGGGAAAAGTGGACAGCCCACTTGAAGTAATGAATTCCGATGACATTTCGCCATAAGCCTTCACATGAACAGTGGTCTTCGAGTACAGAACTTGTATAAAGATAATGCACTTCTTCGGTAAACCTTTTAGTGACAGACTCTGACACAGAACCTCTCGATCCACAGAGTCAAATGCTGACTTAATGTCGAGAAATACTACTATTGTTGGACGCCTAAATGTGTGTCTGTATTACAGGACCTGTCGTAGTGTGAATATTTGGTCTATACATCCACGTCCAGGTTGAAAAAAAACCTGGTTTTCTTTAGTCTGGTCTTCACGAGCTCTAGTTAGGCGTCCGAGTATTAATGAGGCCAATGTTTTAGATACCGTATCAGTTAGACTGATTCCTCGGCGGCTGCCACAACAGGACTTTTGTCCTTTTCACAGACTGGGATATTCAGTGACTGAGATCATTCAGATGGGATTACACTGATTTCTCAGATTCCACCTAAGATTTCAGTCAGTCTGACTGCTAAAACTGGAAAACCATCCTTAAAAATCTCAGGGGTAAGCATGTTAGACCCCGAAACTCGCCCCCGTTTCACGTTTCCTATAGCTTTCTGAACTTCGTAAAGACTAGGAGGACTTAAATCGATCTGCCATTCAAGATGAAAGGAGATCGTGGGCAACGCAAGTGTGGCTGAAGGCCAGTCGAACTGATCCCTAAAGTGTTCTGCCCGTCGATCCAATCTCCCGAATTGAGAATGAATAATAACCCCATCCAATTCTGAGATAGTTTCTCTAACAGATGGATTCCTTATACCGGTTTCCTTTATTACACGGAAAAGTTGTCAATTATTGCCTATCGCCGCTGCCTTTTCCATCGCTTTTGCTTCCGCCACCCACCACTGTTCGCGTCGTTGCGTAGGCTTTTCATCAGCCTGCGATTAAGCTGACTTGGCTCAGGGTCATGTTCAGTGCCAGGTGCGAAGAGTTTACGAGCGTCTATCAGTTAGGTGGATGCTGCTGAGATCCACGGCTTATACCTAACGTTACGCTATACCTTACTAGCAGATATCATTTCTGTTTCCACAGCTTTTTCGATATCATTACAAGCTGCCTCGGAATGGGAATAACTGACATGGCCGCCAAACTCGTTTTCTAGTTGTTCCTCAAATATATTCTTAGCTATGCTATCATTAAGTAGAACCTTAACACGTTTTCTTGCGGTGTCTTTCGTACATCCAGTAAGAC